CCCCCCCCGCCTGACGTTCCACATTGCTGCCTGTCGTTCGTGACAGCGCTGCCATAAACTTAACTGCGGAGACATTTCCCTGGCACCGTCCCCTGCCTGGGCCGCTCGTCGGGGTCTCTGCTCGAGTTGCGCCACTGTCTGTGCAGTTTCTTTTTGCGGCTGAATAATGCCGGTCTGGCCCACCAGCACCAGTACAGCTTATGTTGTTTTGGGACGAAGGCTTTTTCATGGCTTATTACAATTTTAATTGACTCGTGCGCTCTTTAGGTTAACTTTTAGCGTCATGAAGGTCATCAAGCATCGGTTAAAAGTGTTTTGCTCGGATTTGTTAACAACTGCCTTAACCTTGGGGGTGCGTGAAGGAGTTTTTCATTGAACTCATTCGGGCAAAGCAGTTACTAACAAAGCGCGTTATTAACTCTTAGGAGGAGTCGTTTGCTCGCTTAAGGATTGCTCTTGGATTGTACGAGGCTCACCTAAACGTGACTGCATGCAGCCCCAAAAACCCGGGGGGTCAGATCCACACCCTCCCGGATGAGCCCAGGGTTTTCCTGGACACGACCACATGGGGGGTATGATTTTTTTATAAGCGTCGTTTTCCGTTCCTAAAGAAATCCATTTTGAGTTCGTTTTAAGAGTAAAATAAAATGCGGTGCGAACTCAACGTTTCCCGCCCGTTAATTGTGTGTGTGTGGGTGCATGCGTGGGTGGGTGGCGTGTGCGTGTGTGGGTTCGTGCTTCAAGTCCGTGCTTGTTTCAGTGCCGCCAGCATTCTGAGTCGGCAGGTTGCTGTCAATACAAAAGCGGAAAATGGAAAGACCATGATTGAGAATGTGGGGAGCGGCAGAGAGGGTGGGGCACCAGGAGACAACTGAACAGTTCAGCAGTTCCACTGCTGGATTATATTTTTTCCGCCTGAGGACGACTGCTTGTGTTGCGATTGAAACGTGATTTATTGTATACCTACGTGACTTTACCGAAAGAACCAAAGGGTATGAATAGCAGCCCCCTTCTATGCCTTATCCTCACCACTCTCTCCTTCCACCCCTACTCCACATCTGTCGCTCTGCCAAACCCAAGATTTACTGTTTGTGTTTAGTGCCCAAGCACCTGTGCTTGTTTACCCAGAAAAGCCTCACTGATTATCATCTGCCAAGTTTTCCAAGCAGGGATTATGATTGCTGTGTATATTCCAATGGAGTACTTATGGGTAATTTTTCAATTTGGACCATGACACCAGCATCAAATCGCCTACTTTTGCAAGTGACATCACCGGATCTTTCACGTCCTCTGAAGTGGACGGCACGCAGTATTTTCATGGCGAATACACCGATAGTATTAGTCGAGGCAGCCTCTGAGTTCGAACCACAAATCTCTTGCAACAAGCGGCGAACTCACTCCTGTACCGCAAGACATTGAGAAATGACTGCTGTCGTGGTGAGCTCGCTGGACTTATAATCCAAGGGTCACCAGATCAGTTCGCCGTCCTGCAGCAAGAATTCAACGGTGCAGCAAGTCTCCTCTCGCCTGTCCACTCAGCAGTAGAGATCGGTACACTCCAGTTAGTTGGCAGATCATGTGTGGTGGGGTAAGGTGTGGGTAAATCTTGGCTTAAAGCTTTCGTGACTGCAAGAATTCATATTCTTTGGGTCTCGTTAAAGCCACGTGGACCACTCACCACTGATGTCATCTTCATTGAGTGTGAACACTCGGGTCGACGGATGGGTCCGTCACGTGAAAATTCAGAGACAGCTTCATAGCTCAAAGGATTTCATCCAGTCTAAATATAGATTTTGATCCTTTCTGATTAAGCCACTAGGCTTCAAATGTAAATTTCAATGTCTGAACACGTGTGATTGCGTACAGTACACGGTACAAAACAATCATGTGTAGTACGTAGATCGATTGGTGACGCTGCTTAATGTAAATTGCCATACAAATGGTTTAAAATAATATATAATCGATAATAAATACTGAAAGACCCAAAGAATATAATATAAATCGGTGACGTTTCGGGAAATATCCATTCAAGGCACATGCATAGCGAAGAGACCAGTGGATTTATAAGAGAGACTGCAGCACACGATGGGGCCTGATGAAAATGAGATATCCTCGCCGTGGCTCTTGGAGAGAGTTTCAACGTGGCACTGTTCGTGCAGTGCACAGCACGGGACAGCGGGAGGCAGCAGCGAGCTAGAGAGTGCCGCGCCCCTTGGGGCTGGGTGGGTGGGGGGCTGGGTGGGTGGGGGGCGGGCTTTAATTACCGTACCCGCGTTAATTTGTGTCCAGCCACTCGGTTCAACAAACGGATGTGTTTAACACGTGGCGAATGTAGCGGCCTATAATGGCTGGGGGTGTAAGCGTGCTAACTCGTTACAAATGAATGGTAAACATTGAATCTTCTTGCGTGATTTGATGCTGGCCCTTTTGTTAAAATCGATGTTTAACCGTAAAATGTGAAATGCTTCCGATGACAGGACGGCAAACATTCCTGCAATCTCAAGCAGCACTTTTAAATAGCGTATCCATCACTTTTATAAAGTTAATGTTTACCCAAGAAGTCGATGTCCGTATTAGCTGGGCGCGGGTGTCTCCTCACGTGTCCTGTAAACCGCTGTGAAGGCAGTCGCCAGGGTTGGTGGATCACACAAATGTTGCTAAAGTCCCTTCCCAGAGAAACCACGTGTCACGGGGCAATGTTCAATCCCCATACACCTGGCGAGGAGTCAGTTTGGTTCACTGGTTCCTCCTGGCCAGCCAGGGTATGACGTCTCGACGCAAGTGTGATCTGCCAACCCCATGATGATGATGTTGTTGCTACCTGGCAACCCTTTTGCACAATGCATTTGTCCTCTTCTGCCATTGAGATATTCTTCTTCGCATAATGTCCCGTGTTTTGATATCTCAGAGATGGCAAGCCGAGACGATGATGCAGCCACGTCTCTTGTTCCCAATGTCCCTCGCGCTCCATCTCCTCTCCTCCGCGCGTTCAGCAGTTTGATGAACACGATGCGGTGTTGGGTGCAGACTAATTTCCACATGGAATGGCTAGGCACATTACAAATAGCCCACAGCCCATGGTGATACATATATAGATACTGGATGTGGTGTGCCGGGTGCAGTCATAATCCATGGTCTAGGTCTAGAAGCAGAGATTCCAGCTCCTTGTGTGGTGCAGACACGGTAGTGGGGAGCATCAAGTCCCGGTCGCCTCCACCCTTACCTGACCACGTGCGATTGTCACTTTTAAGACGATGCGATCGGAGTTCGTTAATTGGTCATCACGCAATCATTCAATTAAGTAGCGACGCTTCCGTGCAGTTAGGTTGTCGTAAAGTACAGTGAGTCTTTATTAGCAAGTGAGAACCGGTGAGAAGTCTCGTTTTCCAAGAAATGCCTTGCTGTGTACGTGGCAGTGCAAGAACGTGGATGTTTTAATCTCGTTTGCATGTTGCCGTGTTGCGATATCTGCGAGTTCTTGTGCTCCTGTGTATGTGCTTTTCGGTAGCATGCTTATGACCAGATCCGGTTTGGCAGCAGAGGTCTCACTCCGAATCGGTTGGGCAGCTTTATATTTTAATCAGCTGCATAATGCTGTGTGGAAGTTACCACGTCTGTCGCCCCACACGAAGCTCTGGGTCTTCTCGGTCACAGCCTTCCTTCTCTCCGTTCTCTTTTCTGGGTCACTTGGAACCCTCCAATGGAATATTTGCGCTAATTTGAAATCTTCAGGCTGGCCTGCCTACGATCAATCCTAGGTTGAACCAGGCTGAATTGTGAGCTCACGAATCCGTGGAAGGCCTGGACACATTCCCATCAATGAGCTCCTCTGGCGGGCAAGACTGCGTTGGCTGGGTCATGTAGCACGCATGCCCAGCCACCGCATGCCCAAGTAGCTTGTTTGGCCGGACGGCGAGGGCTAAACTAGTACGACAGGGGCTGGAAAAGAGATGGACTGATGCGGTAGATGATGTGGAGCGGAGTGGAGTTGCCGATGACTGGTATCAGCGGTTTCAAGGTTGGCATCTATGAAGGAGGCTCGTGAAGGACTCTGCGACTAGGCAGTTGGAGGCAGTCTCCCTCCAACAACAACGCAAAGGAGATTATCGACGCTCACAACGAGCAGAGCGCCAGGCGGCTAAAATTCTGCAAGTTGGCACAGTGGAGGGCACAGGTTTAGTATCTGCCAGTCATCCGAGTCGGTCAACCTATGGCACCTGGATTTGTCCCGTGACCTCCTGTCAGCCAGCCTTCAACATTTCACGTGGCCTCCGAGTACACCTAGCCTGGCACAAGCACCGTGGTGACGTCACCAGAACTTAGTGGCCAATGGCGGCTGTTGTGGGGAGCGGTCGTGTCGTTAGGGCGCTGCACTTCAAACCCAGCTACCAGTTCGATTCCCGATTACGGCCAACACGAATGCCAAATATGTGAATCAGTCCTGTGGTTCCCCGAGGTCAACTCGGCCTCAAATCACGAATTGGTGCGGTGTGTAACATCAGCACTGGGGAGGAAATGAGTACGCGTGTGTGTCCCTTGCCGCATACACACACCCCGTACAGCCTTAACAGACTGTTGGGGCAAATGCTGTTAGAGAGCACCTATTAAGGCAGACACGACACAAGCGTGGGTGGCCTGCACCACACCCGACCGCCTTTGTTTCACTGATTGTATTTTTTCGATTGAAAGCTTTCGTGACTGTTTATACACCGCACCAGGTACTCATTTATACACCGCACCAGGTACTCATTTAAGGTTGAGTCGACCTCTATAGGGAGGGGCCCAAGGAGCGGTTCAGATATTCGTCACTGATGTCGGCTATGAGTGGGAATCTAAATCCAATCTCACCACTGTTTGTAGCACACTGCACTAACGACTACACTACCGCTCCCCACACACGCACGCACAAATCCTCTCACATTCTCTCCCACACTCCATACAGCGCACACATCAAAGAACGCGCGCACACCGTGACACACGCCCATCCAGTACAAACGCACTGTGGTATGGCCGCAGATCGTACAAGCAGCTTGTTTAATAATTCATACATTTGAAGCATAGTAAATCTTAAATCACGCTCTTTGTTTGCGTCTCTTCTATTATAAAGTAATATCTTAACAGTACGTGAATCGTAAAAAGCCACCGCCATCTGAGAATGACAGCAGACTAATAAGGGAAGCCACTGCAGTCCGCTCTCAACCATCGCTCGTCCCCGAGTCTGTGACTGAACACGCAGCGCGATGGGGGGGGGGGGGGGTGTCTCGACACGCGCTGCTGCCTGGGTCAGCAGCTGGATTGGCGGTGGAGTTCAGGGCCAGGGGTTCCAAGCACGATTGTGCATTCGTTGTTTGCAGTGGCAGCTCATGACCTCAGCTAGAGGAGGTTGCAAACTCCACCCCAGGTTTTCAAGTCTCACATGGCAATTAGTCAAATGAGGCCAAACCAATTTCACTTGTGGGTTACACTTGTGGTGGTATAACTTTAGCGGTTCCAATTTGTTTACGTGGACATACCAGTGAATTTCGATAACCATTGGAAGTGGGTGGGTTATCACATATTTAACCCTTACGAGCCATATAAATAGTACATCAGTGCTACTCAAGGTTTGCTACCTTGGGGGGTACTAATTCATTACATGTTGCGATCAGTTTTAAATCGTCAATGAATCTACCTGCACATGCCGCATCACCCGAGATTGTAAAACAGCGCAGAGCTTGCAGCCTCATCAACCTCGAGCTCTGAACCACCACCAACTTCTTAGAAATTCCAGGGGCGGGCCTGCTGAAACTGCAAGAGCCTCCCTCGCCCAATGTATGGAGATTAAATGTAAAATTGACGTTTACCAATGTTACATTTGCGAACGACTGACTGCAGTAACGCATGGCCAGTTTGGTAAATGCATCATGCTATGCATGACTCACGGGGATCGAGGTCCCAACACTGCCCCCCTCCCCCACGGAGTGCTGGAGACCAAGAACTCGGTGCGGCCGTGTGGCAATCGCCGACCCACAGTGGCACCACAATCGCCGGGGCAATGACGAGCGCCAGAATCTCCTGACCGTCGCATCGCAAAGCCAGTCAGCTGTGAGAGTTCATGGAAGCCGAGAGGAAACACACGTGTCCATACACGGGGCCACACGTCTGTCTCTCATCACCCACCCTGACCGCCAACCTCACCACTGTAGTAAAGTGGCAACCACCCCCCCCACGACTGAACAGATAAACCAGGTCGAGCGATGGGAACGGCTCAGGGAGCGCCCGACTCGGGGAGGATGGATCTGACCGTCACTCAAACCAGGGATGGATTTCGCTGTAGCCCGGACAACACGATCGATCCTCAAGACGCATTCATGTTCCCATTCATGCTGCGACAAGAAGCAGCCTTCACATGATCTCCCGACGCACACTGCTGAATTTACCTTCGCAAGTGTCATCCCGCACCTCCGATTAGCACGGTTGGCTACGTACGAGAAAGAAGTTCAAGATACATACGTACATTCGTTTCCACACATCCGGTGTTTGTCTCTCTTTACATAGACTCCACGTGGTGGAAACCCAACACAGGAGCGTTACAGCCTCAGGACACTTGAGTTAAAGTTGCTTTTGGAAGTGCATTTCTCTGCTTTACATTGCCTCTTTTTTTTCAAGCAGCTATTTCTCCTTTATGAAATTAGTTTTGGGAATCTAGAGTTGATTTGCAGATGGGGGGGGGATGCTTAAACTGGCCCTTAAGAAATTACTTCACATTATTTCAATTGGATAGGAACACCGAGCTCTACTCGGATTAGCCACCTTATGCTGCGCAGTCCAAAGTTGCCGCACGTTCGTCATTTTGCTGCTGGGCGGCGAGGAAACACTTCCGGATGCAACCGAGACTAATGTTCCGAGGGCTTCACACGAGCGATTTTATATAAAATAAAAACCACAGTGGTGACAGAAGGTGGAGGTGACTACTTGAGAGGCACTCGCAGGATGTGAATGAATGGACACGTGGCTGCCTTGGCCTCGTTCGGGACTCGCGCGGTTTCGGGACTCTGTGTTCGCATCGAGTCCCTTTCGCAAAACTTTCGTGAGAACCGGCTGCATGGGAAACCAGAGACGCCAGCCGTGGCCTGCCCCCTCGCCGAGCCCTGCCCCTCATCCCTTTTGCACAGTCTTCGCTTGCTCGCCCGTCCGCCGCTGCACGACATCACGGAGATTACTCCTCACGGCCGTCGGCAGGATTGGCCGATACAAAGTGTTCCAAGTTTACCCAATTGCACCGGGTTAATCAACACGTGTATTTGTACACGTCTGCGCCCCTCGTCTGATCGAGTTTCAGCTTCATTTGTAAATCGATTGCATAAATACAGTCTACATTAATTCGTAACGCAACTCACGCTAGTTCGTGTCCCATGCACTGCTAATCGCTCACTCGCTTGCTCGCTCACACCACAGCCTGCCTCGCCCCGGCTGGCCTGGCTCGAGAGTTGCGCCGATAATCACAGCGATGCGCGGAACTCGTCAAGCACCACAGGTGTGCGCGCACGACCAGTCGGGCCCCCGCACCTCCCTCCCAGCTACTGCCCGATCTCTCTACTGCCGTCCCGCAGTTACACAGGCACGTGGAATATATCATCATCGTCGTCATCATCTAAACTTCCACCCCCCCTTACGCTCTGAAAACATATTTACGAAGCATTTTAAAGCGTCGAGATTAACAAACCGGAAGGCGGGCGATTCGCAAAAATGAAATTTCACACACTCGCATAACCAGCCTCCTCCTCCTCACCTTGCGAGGAACCGGTCAAGCGACGGTACCACCCGGTGGTGAGATAAGAAAAACCAACAACATCCGCACACCGAAACACACCGTAGCACATCCGCACCTCCTCTTGGGCACACGCAGGAGAGCGACCTCGCTCGACACAGCAACAGGGCTGGCCCCCCCCCCCCAATTCGGCACAGACTCCACTGAAGGCGGCGCCTTATTTACAAATTTCTTCCGCGAATCACGCATGCCAGTTACTGGTTAATTAGTCCATTTGTTCACTCGTTTGTAATTTTTGCTTATTCAATATAAAGTGCTAATTTACTGCACTTTTCAACTGGACCAGTGAGAGGCGAGCGGGGCCCGACTGAGTCTGTGGGCGGTGGACCCGGTGACCCGGTGACCTCCACGAATCCTGGCCACCCGCTCCGTGGTGCCCTCCTCCCGCGAGGCACGGAGACGTGCAGGGCGCCGCTCGGTCGTCGCGAGCCCCGCACCGCCGCAGGACCGCGTGTGGGAGCGAGAAGGGCGGGGGAGGGGGCGGTCGGGGAGATCGGAGCGGCGGTGCCACGGTGGGGGAGCGCGGAGCGCTGTGCCGTTGCCGGCGGGGGCCCTCACTTGCAGACCTGCTGCTGAACATGCAGCAGGAGCTCGTAGTAGGACATGGCGGACTCCGTGCGGTCCTCCACCAGGCTCTGCACGAAGGCCGAGCGGCTCGCACCGTCGTCACTGGCGCGGCGGTGGCGCAAGTAGGACACGGGCGCACACGAGCGCACGCGCATGGGACACACGCACAGAGACGAACATTAATTAGCCATACGTGCAAATCCCGGCCCGGCTGTTTACTTTAAGCTCATTAACAAACAACTGCTTCACTTAACATTTTCCGAAGTGAAATAAGACTGGGTGAATATAAACATTTCGATGTTGAACGTTATCAGCAGCAGTGGCTAAAGAAGGGGGATATAACGTGAAGAAACGTGAGTGGAACTGGACAGGACGGAGTGGAGACTCGTGTTGGAGTGGCAGCCGCAGGAGAGAACGGGGCCCAAGAAGAGATTCAATCAACTCGTGAGATATGGCAGCGGCTTGAGGACACATTCATCCAAGTGGATCGATCGTGGCTGCTGACAATGCCGTAATTACTCACCGAATGATCTGCAGTGGCGGGGGGAAGGCCCGGTGGCGCCGTAGCCACGACACGAAGGCGCGCACGCGCTCCGATGCCGCGTTGGGCAGCTCCGGCAGGGACCATTGCTGCAGGGATGCACAAAGCACACACACAAACACGTGTCACACACATACGTACACGTGTTACATACAGAAGACTTCACACAATATGTAATTTCAAACACAATGAAGGCGGACGAGCACAGGCAAAAGGAGGAGGAACTCAGTGGTGGGATTACACAATGGAGTGGACTCCACTCAGCATGGGCAACTTCGCGAGAGGCACTCAGGGACCATCCATCTCCAAACCCATACCTTCTTCTTCGTCCCATGACTGATCTTGATGTAGAGCAACAGCTCTAATTATATGTTTAGGTGCTTGAGCACCTAAACATATCTGTTCTGCGGTTCTGTTCTGGGTGGTGACCAGTCACCGCAAACTGTTCGTTTTCCATGTGTGGCCATGGTTTGTGCAGATGTGTATTAGGGGTTACGGCCCATAAGCTTCACGGAAGATCAAAGCCAAGGATCTTCTGCGTCAGGTCTGAGAGTGATGGAAGGATGGACACAGGCGTAACTAGATCAAAGCCAAGGATCTTCTGCGTCAGGTCTGAGAGTGATGGAAGGATGGACACAGGCGTAACTAGATCAAAGCCAAGGATCTTCTGCGTCAGGTCTGAGAGTGATGGAAGGATGGACACAGGCGTAACTAGCTAGCGCTAGTGACGGCAGTAGGGGCGCGGGTGAGCCATCGATTGTTACCGTGTTAGTCTGGATGGCTGCGACGTTCTGCACACCCAGCACCTCGTGCAGGAAAGCCAACCCGACGCCCCTGCCCACCCACAGCTGCAGTACCTGGACACACAAAGACAAAGATACCCTGTATAGCCTTAACAGACTGGTAGGGCAAGTGCATTTAGCGATCAAGGCCTGCACGGCACACGAAGCAGGTGGGTGGCCAACAGCATGCCCAGCCACCTTTGTCTCCCAAGTGGTGATATTTACACACCACACCAGGTACTCATTAGAGGCTGAGTTGACCTAGTGGAGGCCATAGGACCTGGTTCAGATAATCATCACTGGCGTTGGCCATGAACAGGAATCGAACTTGGGTCGCCAGGATCGTAGCGAAGCGCACTAATCACTACACCACTGCTCCCCACATGCGCACACACGCACACACATGCACACATGCACACATCCACACGCATGTAGATGACCCCCATACAGTCTCACAAACCATAGCAACGAACGGCATTAGTGAGCACCTATCAAGACCAGTACCCCGCACGACAGGTACACCTCGGTGTTAGATCGTGGTTGGGTGAGAAGCGCGAGTGTAACGGTGGTGACGCGTGCTGGCATGGCAATGTGCAGGTGGCGCCCGTGCCAACTCACGGTGCCCGAGTCGAGCAGGAAGGCTCCGTCCCCAGACAGACGCTCGGCAGACAACTGCAGCACCGGCGGTTGGGGCACCAGCACGTCGCCCTCCATCACCCCGCCCTGCACACGCCATGAACACAGAGGTGCCCCACACGTAGAGTCTTTGAGAGACTGTTGGGGAAAATCTTGTTCGTGAGCACCTATGAAGGCCAGCATGGCACACGAGGGGTTTGGGTGGTAAGCACAAATCTCGGCTGCCTTTGTCTCTCCAGGGCTCATGTTTATACAATGCACGAGGCACTATTTTAAGGCCGAATCGACCTATACAGCAGGGGGCAGCCCTGGACCGGTTAAAATATTCGCCAATTTTTATTGTCCGTGAGCGGGAATCAAACACGCGTGGCTGGATTGGTAGCGCAGTGCGCTATCCATGGCACTACCGCTCCCCACACGGACACACGAATGCACTTCCCAAGTGGTGTGACTAGCTCTGTGGGCGAGGGGGGGTTGTAGGGCGGGGGGGGGCAGGGGAGGTAAGGGGCAGCTGCCCACACCTTTTCCGTGAGGTTGTCGACGCGGTAGAGGCTGGGGTGCACAGCGAGCATGAGCTGGCCCAGCGGCTGGTGTTTCATCTCACACATGGCAAACGCTCGTTCATCCAGGCGCACGCTCTTTCCCGAGCCAAACGCTTTCTGGAATGAGAAGACGACCGAAGTTAGGATGCGGCAATCGCCATCGTAGAAGCAGTGGGGGTGGTACTTCATCAACACTTACGGCTGTTACATTTGCTGCCCCACACTCAAAAGGCACACCGCCCACCCGCCCCACGGTTCAGCGCCGACACCCTGCAAAACGCCTCCCACCTGCTTCAGCAGCGCCAGCGCGTAGAGCGGCAGCAGCCGCAGGCCGTGTGGCGCCGTGAGCCCAGACTGCGCAGGGCCGCCGCCCGAGCCCCGGTACGCAGCCAGGAAGTCCACGGCGGCGTTCACCAGGGCGTCACGTGCGTCGCTCAGGCTCGACGAGAGCGTGCGGTCCACCGCTACACGCGTACACAACGTGCACACAAAGATCACCCGGGTAGACTCTCAGAGCATATCGGTGCAAGTGCCTTTAGTGAGCACCTGTGAAGGCCGGCACGGCACACCAGCGGGTGGAAGCGTGGCCATCACCAGGCCAGCCTTTGCCACCGCTCTCGAAACGCAACAACCGCTGCGATTCGCCACGAAGTGACGGCGAAGTCACCGCAGCGCTTATGCCAGACTAGGGCCACTTTGAGGCACGTGAAACATCAAAGGATCACTGGCAGGAGGTCACGGGACAGACCCAGATATTATGAGTGAATTGACCGAGATGACTGGCAGATACACCACCCACGCTTCCCACCGTACCAACTACACACCAACACGTGTCCACGCGTGCATATGCACACGCGTGCCCTGGAACCAAGAGCGCTGGCAGAGTCGGTATATTCACTTCGCCGGAGCGAGTGTGGATGCCGTGCTTAAGTCATGGGGGGGCAGCATCTGTGGGGGTGCGCCGCGGGCCTCACCCATCTTGGCGAGGAGCGCCGTGACGGCCTGCACGTCGGCGCCGGCGTAAATGTCGACGAGCGTCGTGACCACGGGCAGGCACAGCGTGTGCACGCGGATCCGCCGCTCGCCTGCAGGGTGCCGCGAGACCACATTGGCAAGAGCAAATAAATAAGCGTGATCGCACAAACATTAACAATGAAAGGTAACCGCAACAATTATCGTACTCATCCTGTTACAATCCCTCACGGTCCAGTGCTGCTACCATCCATCACCATGCATCCATCTCTTACACGTAAACTGATCTCGTCGCTCTCCATCACCAGTCTCATCCGTTGGCCATCAATCACTATCATGATCCCATTTAAGCGATGCGTCTTGGTCCAAGCAGATTTACTTATATTGTCAGTAAATGTGACATCTCAGATTGGTGCTTGTTTCTTAATCCATGTGTTCCTCTTTCAAAATTATGGTGTAACTCCAAACATGCTCCAATCCATACTTCTTTGCAAATTTTGATCAAGTAATCTTGGTTAAATAAAGACCAGCGAATTTAAATCAATGAGACAGAGCGCAGGAGCGAGAGGCACGGGTCAACGTAACCTGGATGGCCTCCCCCATGTCCCCCACCGCACGTCACGCCCCTGGCCACGCCCCCGCGCACCCTTGCTGGACGTGTAGAGCAGCGCCGCCTGGAAGGAGACGGTGGCGGCGTCGCCGAGCGCTTCCTCGATGGAGACCTGCACGGCGAAGCCGGCGTCCGGGTTGACGTTGGGAAGGGAGAGGAGGTCCGTGGAGCGCACGAAGAAGTTCCCGTGGAACGTGTGGATGGAGAGGCCTGGGTGGCGGCACGAGAGCAGCGCACCACGGTCACGCGTCCCGCCTCGCGTCCCTTGGCCCCGCCACCGCAAATCTCTCCTCTCTATGGCCACCCCAAAATCCTTCATCTCAAAAATTCCAGATGATCCTCGCCCGTAACCCATAGACGTGATCGTATGAACCAATACTCCTGATCGTTTCACTGGCTCCCAATCCAATTCGGGGTAAATTTTCAAAATCGCACTCTGCCAACAAGATTCTCCAAGGGAAAAAAACAAAAGAAAGCAGAAAATAACGAATCGAGACACCAACAATGATAGCGATGACAAGAACCGCTCACCCTTGGTGCAGCGAATCCTCATAACGGCCTCGAAGCCGATTTTGCGGGTGAGGTAGCGCTGCAGGTCGCTCCGCAGTCGTTCCAGCTGTGCTGGCGCGTGGACGGGATGCGGGGACGGGTAGTAATAGACGGCGCCCGAAGAGAACCGCGATATGCAAGCTGCACGCGACAATCGAGCGCACGTACACACGCACCCGTGGTCAACAACAACAACAGCCACCAGTTGTCACTACGTGATGGTGATGTCACCACAGCGCTTGTGCCAAGCTTGGTGCACTTTGAGACCATGTGGCGTGTCGAAAGCTTGCCAAGCAGGTCACAAGATAGCCCCACGTGGGTTAACAGACCTCGGGGGGGGACTGAGATGACTGGCGGACGCACCGCCTGTTTTAGCCACCTGGCTCTCTGCTCATAAGGTCACAAAACCATAGGTTGGCGAGTTACAAGAATGAAAGTGAACATTGCTCAGGTGAGTATCATTCGTCTAGCCATGAGGTCTTCTCCAAGAAACGGTGACAGCATCGGTGTGACCAGCTCAAAAGAGCACCCAGGGAGTGCGATATGTGTCAATGTGGGACTGCCCGGGGACACTCACACAGCGTAGCCAGGTCGGCGTACTGGCTGCTGAGCAGGAAGAGATCAACGGCCGTCTGCTGCGCCGAGCAGTCCAGCGCCAGCTTCTTGTAGAAATCGGTGACTGGAGAGAGGCCCTCGGTGCCCTGACCAAACACACGCACGCACACGCACAACGCCACGACCCACGCCGCGTCGATCACCACTCGCTCACACATTCACTCGCTTGCCCTCTCGTGTATGGAAACTTTCAGAAGCTTTGGATGCTGTAGATGAGCGCGATGATGATGATGATGATGTTGCTGCCAAGGACAATGATGACACTGCTACTGTTTTTGCCAATGCTGATGATGAAGACCACGATGACAATGGGACACACCTTGGCCCCGACCTCGCGTGGCTTGAGGGCGCCGGGCCCCACTGAGGGGAGCTGGCTCTGGAAGACGGTGACTCGGCCTCCGGTCGCTCCCAGCAGGCTGTGAGCGGCCTGCAGCGCGGGCCCCAGGGCGCTCTGTGTCTCGCGCTCTGCCCCACTCGGGAACACGGTCGGCAGAGACTGCAGAAGCTCGCGGAACAGCTGGGGAGAGAACAGCGCGGCAAGAGTAAGAGCCACGCATATGGCATGATTCTATAACGCTCTACAACATACGTTTGTCATTGCGTAATGAAATAATCTTGTGATGACACATAATGTTAGCCATGCATTGAGTGGTGAGGTGAAGCCTTTTAGCACTGGTTATTACTGCAAAGTGTTAGATAAGGCTTTGATTATGGGTTAAGTCCCTAATAGCAACACAACCTTAAACAAAAACTGATTGTATATCCGATCATCTTAGAATTAATTATTGTGCCCCCACTGTTACAGACAGCCAGAACTAACGCACGAACGCTTTCCCCCTTCGTTACTAAATGACGATGGCTGGGCCGGCTTGGCTTTGATGACACTCACCTCTTTGCTTTCCTGCAGGTTCACAAGGAGGCCTTCGGGGCTTGGGATGAACACATCTGCATGGAACACACGACGGAAAAACGCGCAGGCTCACCACTCCGACCGCCGCCATCACGAAAGCAACGACGAGACCACCAAACGGCTCCAAAAGCACATTTTTTTTCCCGCGTGGAATACTTTGCTTGCCCATTCATTCTTGTTAGCAAGCGAGCTGGTACACGGTTCGTCTCAAAGAGCAGTAGATTTCACCGTGTCTGTGCGTGCGTGTGTGCATGGGCCCTTACAAAACTTAACTGTGGAACTCATTCCCCAAGCCAATCGGGTACTCAAAGAGTCCATTAATGTGTTAAAACAATATTCTAAACGCTCTTTGTTTTGAATTATACAGTAAGACCTTGCTTAATGCGTGTTCACACAACGCATTTTCGCAATAATGTGGTTCTCCCATGAGGGAACATTTTCCGCGGAATGCGCCCGTTATAACACGGAATGAGTTATTGTGTCTTATACAGTGCTTTGAGACCATTAATGAAAGGTGCTTTATGAAAATATATATTAATATTTCTTCTTATTAATCAGGGGTCCGGGGGAACATTGCCTTTGTTTGTGTGGGTGCATACCGTCGATGTCAGTGACCACCACCATCTGTGGCCGTGCCTGCCCCTCCTGCAGGCTGTAGAAGTGGATCGCGCTGTCAAACGTCACGATGCCCACCTTTGTGCGGCTGTCGCCCGGTAACCTGCGTCAGCACGTGGTTAGGGTGGGGGAACTCGTGACGAGGCCTCTACCATGGTAATAATAGGAACCAAAACACTTTGAGGAATCATATGAGTTTAGTTTCACTTGCAGATAGACTGCGCTTCATCAATTTTTGATAGGCCTTTTATAAAGGTCGTCCAGTACAACCGCCCTCTTATCGACACTGACACTTGTAACTTGCGATGGAACCTCTATTGGTTTGTCGATTCTCCCAGGAGCCATGCACGACCGCGCCAGGCGACTGACAGATGCACACACACAAGCACACAGACACCACACACCTGTCCAGGTGCTCCAGGATACTATTGCACACGACGGGCAGGTATCCGCACTCGACGGCATGGAAGGACACGTCCAGCAGGAAGATGTAGACGGCCGGCTGGGGCGGCCGCACCTGCACACGGTCATGCACGGACAACGAGCACGTGCCGGCCTCACCGTCCGCCCCTCGCCACGATCATCCGACGCCACGCGCTACGTCAAACGACCCCGACCCTGGCAAAGCGCTCAGCGGCCAAAGGAATGGCCCTCTGTCACGGAGCAGTGGTCGGCATCGCCTATCGGCGTTGATAGACGCCCAGCGGCCGAACGGCCCGACGTTCCATGAGGCGGACCCCGTGCCTCGCCCAGCTTACCTACTGGGCTGACTGTCCTTGACCTGGCTACTGGGCCACATTGAAACATACAAAGACAAACCCCCCCCCGTATAACCTTGTGAACAGACTTGGGGCAAGTGCTGTTATTGAGCAACTGTGAAGGCTGACAAGGCATATGAGGGGGTGGGTAGATGACCAGTACCATGACTGGCCACCTTTGTCTCCCTCGTGGAATTGTTTACACGTTGCACCAGGTACTCATGAGGCTCAGTCGACCTAGTGGAGGCCCAAGATTGGTTAAAATAATCGTAACTGGTGTTGGCCCTGAGCGGGAATCAAACTCGGGTTGCCGCGTTCATAGAGAGCATTGCACTAACTGCGCCACCATTCACCACACTTATCCACACAAACACAAAGACCACAGTGCTGGTCAACACAAGCCAGCACACAATGCGATACTCATGTCCTTCATGGTCACTCCAGTTGTACGCCTTGAATGGCGGTATCGACGTTGCACGTTTGCTCGCGTCGCCCAGCACTGCCGTGTAAACCCTCGACATAAACAGACCCCACCCCTGCTCACCATGTACTCAGAGGGAGCGATGAACTCAATTGTGGCGTTGCGGATTTCGGGCCGCTTCTGGGGTTCGCCGTACGAGCGCGTCAGTGGGTTGTACATGAAGTCGTCCGGAACTGATGGCAGGGAATAAGCACAAGCATGGAGTTTTTATAATTTGTTAGACTGCGGTGAACAGTAGCGCCGACTTAGAGGCTATGGCCTCAAGGCCCCTTTGTCAGGCCACTGCTGGGCAAATGCCGGGCAACTAGCGAAACGGGATCATCCGTGTAACAAATCAAATCAACTCAAAGGTGATAATAGGGTTTTTCCCCTTTCTGGCAATAAAACAGGTGTTAAGATGTTAAAAAACCAAACTGAAACCTTTGCAAGGAATCATGTCTGCATTAACCACATATACATGTGGTGAAAATTAAAAACCATGCTCTGACAGTATGTGCATTGTCTTTGAAACTGACAATGCACACTGTCAAAGCATGTTTTTTCGTTTGCATTTTCACCACATGTATATGTGGTTAATGCAGAAATGATTCCTTGCAAAGGTTTCAGTTTGGTGTTTAAACATCTTAACACCTTTTATATTGCCAGAAAGGGGAAAAACCCTATTATACTAATTCAATACTGGCAAAGGAGGTCTCATGATGCAACTCCAAGGTATTTGGCAATGCATTTGCATACCCAGTTGTACGAATCCTAATGAACATATTCGTTGCAGACATACGACTTGACTGATGCGTTGCGAGCATCGCAACCGGCTTTTAATACGAGAAGCGTTACGCGAGCGGCGCCTACCTTCGTTGACGCGGAAGCACAGGTTGCACTTCCAGCGGCGCTGGTCGATGAAGGTGACGAAGGGGTTGATGTAAGTACGGCAAGCGCGGCAGCGCACGATGGTACTCGCGGTAATCACCGGCAGCTGCTGCTTGCGCCGCGCAAACGAGGGGGGACGGAGAATACAAACGGCACGCGGGCAGAGTGAGGGTGGGTGGGGCATGGCGCCAAGTGGGACGTACATCGTGAGCACGAAAAACACCAAACGGAGAATGTAAATGCGATAAACGGAGCGCAAAATCACACAATACAATATACATACAAAAATCTTACAGTACATTGCAAAAATCACAATTTTTAAAAGCAATTTAGCACCCAATCTACAACAAAACATAGAACATAACCCACAAAAAAATCATCACTTAACATACAACCCACTAAAGACACGCTGCATCACATAAACACAACATAAAAAGACATCAAAAACCAAAACAAACAAAAATATCAGTTCCCAATGCAAAATATTAAACAGAAAGACACTCATCACAATACACAACACCACAATAGACAACACGGATCAAAACACACAAACAAGACAGACCACATACAACAAAGCACAACACAACATACAACACACGCTACATCATAAAACACACACCCACACCAATAACACACACACGAGCGTGTTAAGAAACGCGAGTCACACAATCGAATCCACGTGGCGTGCCTGATGCTGCCGCTGGCGACTGTACGACGCGTTGTTTTTGTCCCAGTTTCTCAGAGTCTCCAGCTCGTGGGCTCCGGCAGGAGTGGTGTTGGCAAGAGGGAGCGCTCACCTGCAGGTCCTTGAAGGGGTGCAGCAGGAGACCCAGCGGAAGCTTGGCCTTGCTCAATAGGCTTGGCGTCTGTGGTATGTTGGTCAGCGTGCAGCGGAAGATGCTGCCAAACGCGCACAAGGGAACGTACGTGTCAGCGTGGATGTATTAAATGCACGTTCAGCGCACGTGCGCCAATCTGTTGATCCACTCCTGGATGAGGGCCTCTGCGCGCCGTGATGAGTTGTGTAGGTTATTTGAGGATGCTTTATCAGGCCGCTCAGTCTGGATTTGCTCGTGTTTCCTTGCTCTGCACATTAACCGAGCGGCTACGGTTCAAAGCAATTTAATTTTACGCAAAGTTGAGTTGGGGAGTTTAACACGCAGGCTTTCGCGACCAATATCATCCATAATAGAGGTTTTTTGGTTAATTTACACGATCTAATCCAAAAAACCTCTAATATGGTTGAGTTGGGGAGATGCCATAGATGGCACTACAATGTACAATCAATGTCACACCCAGCTTCCCTGACAGGGGCACATCTCTGCAACAAGTTACTTGTACATGTGAGCTCTCTTAGCAGGCTGGCTTGACCGGCTTAGCGATACACGTGCCCTGTCACTACTTACTCAGGATGGCAGTTGCGCTGCTGCATGTCGGGGTGGAGGTTGGGCTTGGGAGGTTCCACCGGCGTTGGGGGAAGGATGTTCCTCTCTTGAAGCAAGTTGACTGGTCGCAAGCTCTCAGGTTGGACCGACAACCCCCCCATTGAGGAGGACAGTTGGTTGGGTCCAAAAGCAGTCTGCAGATATTGACGACAAATTTTACATGCACTGTAAGCACAATAAAACCCATAGAAATACAACCGATTTGTGAACATCATTATAACCCTGAATCAGGGAAACCCATGGGAATCACTGCAAGGTGAACCATTAGGTACCAATTGTTACACAGCCTCGCAGGAGCGCATTTGCCGCTTTTTGCGGCTGAATTAACTGTAAAAAAATACACTGCTTCTACATTACAGTAGACACTGTGGCCTTAAAGAAAGTATAGAATGGGTGACGTCTCGGCCAATGGCCCTCTGTCAAAGCACAGAGAGAAGCCAGAGAGGTAGAGTGTCTGCAAACGCAGCAGCAGCATCACTAAATTATTTGTTTATGAAGGTATCCAGACTCCTGGCGTGGGAGAGCATTACACACCTGTGGGTACTGCGGAGGATAGCCGGACATGGCCGCGTTGTGGAAGGGGGCTTTCGGCGTAGCGTGCGGGTAGCCCTGCGGTCCGAAGCCACCACCACCACCTCCGCCCATGGGAGGTCCCGTAGGGGAATTTGGTGCCGCTGATAACAACAATGAAGACGATGATGATGCCAAAAACAACAAAGTAATGTCACATATGTCATAGACTTGCTCGTGCAACGCAATGATAGGCAGCTACGAAAATCGCTTGTCATTAATAAAAAAAGGTTATGACATTTTATCCACAGGTTTTGACGGCTGAAGATGGCAGTTCAATTCAAGAATGGGTACAAATTTTGATCATATGTTCTATCTCTCTGCCACAGCAATGGGTGTTGACTTTTTTAACAAGGGTGTTTTACAGATGCTGACGATTCAAGATCGCAAAACAGTTAAAAATTAAATAAATTGTTGTGACATTTGTACAGCAATCCCTATTCTATATTTGTCTGTATTCCATGAGTATTGTCAATATTTTGTGTTCCGTCTCATTAATAGCATTAGCTTAAAGGTGATATTACTGTATGTGATGATAAAAAATATATTTATATCCCTTCGTCCATCCACCACTAGATGAAGGCCTCACATATGTTGTTTGTCATGTATTATTTGCCCATACTTCACCAAGCTGATCAGTGAAGGTTAGTGACGTTAGCCAAAGCTAATAATTTAATTCAGATCAACATGTTCAGTGCTGTGCACAAACTACTGAACACACTGATCCCTTTATCCCATTTTGCATATAGTTTGCATAAAATTTGAATAACTTTGAAGACACTTTACACTGCTATTCAATACACGTACATGAGTGTAAAAAAACATGAATTTGTCAGAGAAAATAAGGGAGCACGATTAAGATACCTGGATTTAAATCAAATTTCTATCAAACTCAATTGTTGACTAAACCAGCTTCTCCACTCCTGAGAATCTGGGTTCCAATCTGATTCAGCTGCAAATTACTACAGTGGATTCTGAAACTGTGAGTGTAGTCTCAACCCAGTGAAAGATTTCAGAAAAAAATATATAATCACGATAAATTTGGTGTAATTTCTGAGATAAAAAAATCCAAGCATTTCACTGCCATCTGATGGACATTCTTTGCAGGGTAAATATACATGTGAAAAAGCAGCCTAGAGAAAGCAATTCCAAAGTAGTTCTACGAACGCTGCTTTAGGGGCCGTTCCCTGACACAAGCTGAGAACGCTGCTTTCTTCCAGTTCCAGAAAAAACATTTATTAATCTCCTGACAAGATGTGGACCGCACGCACAAAATACATTTGGTCGTTTTTTGTGTTTATTACCATGCAAATGCATTCCCGTATCTGCATACTTAATGCTGTTACCATTATGTGCGAGAAGACCATGAGAGGCTGTGTCCCCTGTGAAACAGCAGACAGTGGGGAGGGGAGATATGGGTCGGTGGGTGGTTGTGGAGATGATGGTGGCGCCGGGGTACAAGGAACGAGTGCCACATGCACCCCTCGCTGCCGTAAGAGCCAAATAATTATGATCGTATTATCGTGTTCAAAGGCAGCCGCTATTGTTGCACAAATTAATGAATGCTTTCTGTTTCCCCTTCGCACTGATGTTGGCGTGGGGGAGAGGCCTGCTGCGATTGTACGGGCTGTTGCGTAGGTAAGGGGGGGCCCTTGCCCCCCACCCCACCTTGCAGGTAGGTTAATTGGGACAATGTATTTATGGGCAGTATACATAATTGGTTAATAATTAGAAGACCCAACATGGTGACTTAAGGTGTCCCTCCCTTTCCTCCTGGTTCCTAGCCCCAGAATTTCCCACTGCTGCATTGGTTCTAAACAGCACCGTACAATCAACTCACTTATGCACTATTTAAATGTACATCAGGTACAAGTACGGCGAAGTACGGCCCTGTGTTAATGCACTGCTGGATGGGGAACCTCCCCATGCATTGCGGATTGTGGGGGTTATTTGACCGTATTTGTTCAGTGCGGATTGGTTAAGGCAGGGAACAGAGATGAGGGAGTCGTAGCACAGTACAACACTAGATCTTGCAGCATTGTCCTCTGTGGAACACAACATAGGCCCCCGCGGCCGATAATGCCGGTCGTGCACAGTGGTCAACCACGCAGGCACCATCCAGGCTCAACCCTGCTTAGCAGCTTCCTAAATCTGCCGAGCAGTGGGTGCTTTCCAGGTGATTTGGCACAGGCGAATATCTATCAACAGTTTAAGAATAAATATACATCTCGCCACGGTGGTGAGATGTTAACTACCTTGCTGGTATACAGGAGGTCGTGGGTTCAAACCCAACCTTGACGCCTGCTGTATATTTGGAGTTTGCTCGCGTGGATTTTCTGTGGATCCTCCGTTTTTTTCCTCCACAGTTAGAAACACGCTTTGGACTATTTGGCTACTATAATTTTACAAATGATAAGCCACTTAATTTGTGGCCAGGTCACTTCTGAAAAAGAGGTACATAGCTCAGTGGGCCTAACTTAGTAAATTACCAACAAATTAATGTGGCGTTTGAGCTACCAAACCACCAATAGCAGCCAAACTGTGAAGAATTCACCCGGTGAAGAAGAGGCACCGCTTTGCCACCTCCTCACCACCCCCCAGGGAAGGCAGCGCCCGTTTCCAGGGCTGCAAGCTGCTGCTGTCGTCGTCCTCTAGAGGCTTGCACAGCGCACGGCGGCCAGTTCCGGCGCCGGTCGGGAAGCTCGCCACAAGCTGCGGCCGCTTGGTTGGCTAGCAGCAACTGGAGCTGGGCTCACCGAATAGTGAAATAATCGATCAGACAACCGATTATGAGTTTGATTACTTGAATAACACCAACATTGCTGGGGGGACGGGGACGGCGATGAAAACAATGCAGGTTGGGTGCTTCGAGGTGATTCGGCACTGGGTTGGGCCTGCTCAGTGCTTGTTGCACCGTACTTCTATGCTGCCACGTCTATGTTCCTCACTTTCACAAACCCACGCTGACCAGCGTGATGAACCACAATAAATTATAACCCCCGTGGACCTGCACGGGGTTGGGGAGACCCTCATCCAGCAGTGTGTTGATGAAAGAGCCGCATATGTGTACTATTGCACGTAACACAGCGGGCGGCAGAGTGCGACGCAGCGGGCAGAGCACGCTCACCGATGATGCCTCCGCCCTCCACGCAGTCGTAGTTGCTGAGGCTGGACGCGGAGTCACCATCTGAAACACAGACGCCATTTAATGGCAGCCAGCACCTTTAGGTTGGGGAGCCACACCGGGCCGTGTTTGTGGTGACAGCGTCGGCAAAGAATGTGCCGCCTCTAAGTGGTGACCGAGCAAACCGGGACGAGCACAGTGCTGACACTTTCCAGGTTGGAGCCTGCACTGACACCTAGGTATGTATGCATGCACATTGCACGTAGCCAACTGTGCTAATGGGAGGTGCAGAAGAAAGACACTATACAATCCAGCTTAGTAAGACACAATATACTATACAGCTTATTAAGACACAACATACACCGTGTACACACGGGTGTGCACCTATATACATACACACATAACGTGTGCATGTGTATATGTACACATGAAGAGACAGGCGCAGATACACAGACACGCATGCAGTGTACATGCAGACTCGGACAGCAAAGTGTACACGAAACGGAGATTGCTCACTCTGGAGCCTGCATAGCCTGCTGGGGCAAATGCTGTTTGCAAGCACCTATCAAGGACCAGTGAACAAATGTGTGGCACAACCAGAACCATGCCCGACAGCCTTTGTCTTCCCATTGCTGATTTTTAAACACCGCACTAAATATAAGACCCGAGTTAACCTAGGGGGTGGGCAGGACAAGTTCAGCAGTGGCCGGGAAATGAATCCGGGAAGTAACTGCGGATCCATGTGCCCTATAATAATATGACACAAGAGCTCCCACGTATAAAAACAACACTGTACCTGTCGTACCCCCCAGTGACTAGCCTGCTGAAATTAATCTTCGTGACAACGAACTCTCAAACGGCCAAGCTGCACAGGTGAGATAATCCGATCCAAGACTAGGCACGTACATGCGTGGACATGGGATCAATGTGCCGATCGCCGCACGCACGGCTCCCCTGCGCTCAGCAGCCAGTTCAGAAAATAAAATTCCAAACATCCGACCAACATCGGAGTTTGCCGCGCTTATTCTGCAGTGTGTCTTTGGCCTTGTACCAGAACACCGCGATGACAAAACAGTGGTAGTTACTAGGTGCCACGACGGGCAGATACCCTGCACACTAATTCACAAGTGTAAAGGTTAAATGACAATGTCCCCTTTGTGCAGCTGACTGAGCTCCATCACACCTGGATGGTCACGAACACAATTTGTGATGTACGCGACGTAACGATCACTGGAGCACCTGCACACGAACCGATTGCATCGCTCTGTTTCTGCCAGCTCACCTGCTCTTGGGAGATGTGTCCTGCCCAAGCTCAATTATTATTCGTGACAAAACGTTTTCTTAAAAAACATTTCCACCCATCCACCAAGTTCTGGACAATAAAACTGACCGCGGCTTAAGAGATCCCCAATCCCCTCCACATGTTGCTGTCACTTCACGATGCCGCCTCCGTCACTGTATCCCACATGGCCCACGTCTCCCCTTCTCCTAGAAATGGTGCCAAATTTAGGGCCCCTCCATGCATCACACCACACACTCCCCTCCCCCCAACAATGCCACCCCCATCCCACGTCAAACCCACCTGCCCGAAACGGGTGAACTCTTTTGCGCTTGATTTTAAGCAGCAGCAAAAGCGTCATCGTTGACAAGCGGCGGCGAAGAAAACAATAAAAAAATAGAATAGGACTAACAGTGAAGACTCAAAGAACGTTATCTTGCTTGCTATAAATCCCAGGCACCGGAGGGAGTCGAGACAGCTCTCCTAACACAATGGCAGGGACGGTACAGCCGGGAGCGAGGCTGGCTGCTGCCTCGCCCAAGCCCTCCGCGGCGGTTGTGATGCAGATCGCCTGTCCTTTCAGCTCTATGCCGGGACAGCAGCGGTGGCGGTTCAAAGGGAGCGGCGCAGAGCGTGTTGCCAAGGTGAGGGGTGGAGCCTGGCTCCTGAGTGCAGGTTCACGGAGCGGAGGAGGGAGGGGGTCTGGAGGTACTAACGGGCACATGCCACGAGATGCTGATGGAACCCCGCAGGTATGGAGACACACAAACTACACACAGACATATGTAAACACACATGTATAGGGACACGCATACCCGAAGGCATACGCATTTGGATCCTAGGATGGAATGCGCATTATCAATTGAATTATTATTACTAACTTGTACAAAAACCAAGATCTCCCGTGTGGCCTTAACAGACTGTTGGGGCACACGCTCTTAGCGAGTAGCACCTATGAAGGCCGGCACTGCACACAAGAGGGTGGGTGGTCAGCACCACATCCGGCCACCTTTGTCTCTCTCGTGGCGATATTCACACATCACACCCAGGTACTAATTAGAGGTCGAGTCGATCGAGGGGAGGCCCAGGATCGGTTCAGATAATCGCCACCGGTGCTGGCCGTGAGCGGGAATCGAACATGGCGGCACGCAATCACACACAGACACGCCGACACACAGATTTGGGCGTGATCACATGGAGCCGCAGGCCGTGTGTTTACCTGTCACCCCCCCCCACCCCCCGGTACTGCACCTGAGTCGTTGTCCCCAGCGAGGCCGGGAGAAACGTCATGCGCCAGACTTTGGTAACCGCGGAGCAAACCTAGTTGCCCCGTTTGCGACAGCGCAAATAATAAAAGCCGAGATGGATAGCAAATCAAAACAATGATAGAAAATAAGAGAAGGAAGTGTTTTTCAAGAACTCAGAATTAACGAAAAGGGAAGAGAGACAAAATAAGAGAAGTTGTTAGGCAGAGGCAAGCGACAGGAATTCCATAAGATGGTAATTTACAAGAAGTTCTGTAAGCCAATTAGTAAAAAAAATACGGAGATTGAATGTAAAAGCTCTTATCTTGTAGTTACACATCGAAGCCGTGCGTCCTGGGTAGTCACACATGCATAACGAGCTTAATTAATCGGGAGAAAGACTTTGGTAATGGTCAGAAACGTTATTATGTCACCCTCATGACATCGCTGCAATGACCATTTTGTACATTTTAAGAAACACTCATGCAGTCCCGTCACTCGTGGCATGACATTGCACTGCGACTGTAATGTAAAATATATATAAATGTATGTTTTAATAGAACCTTCTGATGGGGAATTCCTTATTAGCCGTGGTGGATTTGATAGATGCCTGCAAACAGCACTTGCCCCAACAGTCTGTTGAGGGCGATATGGGGGCAGGGGTCTGTCTTTATGAAGGCCTGCAATGGATGGTGGGGGTTGCTGCAGCCAACACGACGTCTCCCAACACCACATCTGGCCGCCTTTGTCTCCCCAGTGCTGATATTTACACATCACAGCAGGTACTCATTTAAGATTGAGTCAAGGTAGCAGGAAAGCTGAGGACTGGGTCAGATGTCACTGGCCACTTATGTTACACCGATACAATACATATACACACACATGGCCACAAAAAACACATACATACGTACACAAACAATTATACATTCGTGTTGGGCAGCCAGGAATACAGCATTGATATCTATATTTTGACAAGATGAGAGCTATTTGTTTCCTTGGGTCGCATCTTCCTCAAAGAATCACATTTAGTCACTTATAATCACAGCAGACCAGGATAGTTAATTGAAGTTGCGTAACTTGTACTGCATTGCCACAATGTACTTGCAATGAGATAACAATACTGCTGGGAATTACAACTGACCCCAGATCTGAATGATGGAAATGTAAGCATTGGCCTACCAGCATCTGGACCGCGAGACATCTGGGCCTGTCCATGTGGAGGCGGATGGTATGAAGACGACTGAAGAGATGCAGGACCCAGCTGATGTTGCTGCTGCTGCTGTTGTTGAGTGGGTGGAGGCGGCAGCTGCTGCTGATGCTGCTGCTGCGTGGGTGGAGGTGGCACCTGCTGCTGCTGATGCTGCTGCTGCTGCTGAGTGGGTGGAGGTGGCACCTGCTGTTGCTGCTGCTGAAACTGCTGCTGAAACTGCTGCTGAGTGGGTGGAGGTGCCACCTGCCGCTGCTGATGCTGCTGAGTGGGTGGAGGTGGCACCTGCTGCTGATGCTGCTGTTGATGCTGCTGCTGAGTGGGTGGAGGTGGCACCTGCTGCTGATGCTGCTGTTGATGCTGCTGCTGAGTGGGTGGAGGTGGCACCTGCTGCTGATGCTGCTGCTGAGTGGGTGGAGGTGGCACCTGCTGCTGATGCTGCTGCTGAGTGGGTGGAGGTGGCACCTGCTGCTGATGCTGCTGCTGAGTGGGTGGAGGTGGCACCTGCTGCTGATGCTGCTGCTGAGTGGGTGGAGGTGGCACCTGCTGCTGATGCTGCTGCTGAGTGGATGGAGGCTGCACCTGCTGTTGGTGCCACGACTGCATGGATCCTGGTGCCATTCCGGTTGGAGGTGGGGCAACCAGTGGTGGCTGGGGCCTCCCACCCATAGCCATGGGAGGGCGGCCCGCTGATGGAGCACCTGATGAAGGAGGGGCCATTGGTGGAGGCCCCACTTGTGGACGACCCAATGATTGAGGGCCCCCAGATGGAGTGCCCATTGGTGGGAGGCCTAATGACGGAGCGGTCATTGGTGGAGGTCCTAATGAAGGGGCCCCTGATGCAGCTGCCATTGGTGGAGGGCCCACTGATGGAGGGCCCAGTGGAGGAGGTGCCATAGTTGGTATCGCTCCATATGCTTGCCCGGCCTGCGGTGGTCCTGGTTGGCCTGAGACGCACACGATCATCAGACAAGTAAGTTACATGATGCGTAACAACGCATCGATTAATCAAATAAAAATATAGGATCCTTACACGCTCGCGATAAATACGTCATATCACGTGTGTAAGGATCGATTTTTTTACATCTACGTTATATGCAATCAGTTCATGCGGTCACTAAAGGCTGCGATTTTCACAATGAATTGGATTGGAGGAATCATTGCATGCATACCAGTCACACCGCATTAAACAAAATGACATGTCTTTGCATTAAACACTTCCAGTGAAGGAGACCTTCCGCGACAGCTGAAAATGCTGCATTCGCCGGACAGATGTTCCGGTCACGTTACAGCTCGGAGCCCAGCACAAGCAGTTTCAACCGTCTCTCCAGTTTCATGCCACGACCCGCTGCTTACTGCCCCTAACGGCAGCGCTGCTCGATGCTGCCACGCCAGGAATTCTAATTCAGGCCCAGATTATTCACGCTGGCAAGGAGTCCGTTCCGCGTATTTAGAATGTCTTAAAACTTGTGTGTGAAGTTGGAAATCACAATAATAAAATTTCAGTTAAATAATATATTTACTGGCTACATTACGGACAACGCAGTAAAATCAATTGTTGTACAGTGCTAAACTCTCAAGTCTATGCTCCCCATCATTAACCAACTCGTGCTCACCAGCGTGATGAAGAATGTTGAAATAATTCCCCACAATCCGTATAGCGTGGGGAGGCCCTCAATCCAGCAGGGGATAGACAAAAGGGCAGTACATGTACATGCACTTCCATTGGCATTGCCAATGAAATCCGCATAAGCAAGCACTGAACTAACTACGAGGCTACTTTAAACAGTCCGCTATTCTGACAAGAAGTCACAGTCGTTACGCTGCAGCAGCTGCAGGGTCCGCATTACTACTGATGGGGTAGCTCTTTCCATATAAAAACAGGCTTCACCTAATACTTGCACTAACACTGCGTGACCCCTTTGTGAACAGGAGGAAGATGACCCCGTTTTTTTGCGAATAGTTGAAGGTTTATTGAGCAATACTGCATCATGCATTGGCATGCACACACAGATAGGCACATCAATATAATGGATAAAAAACTGTATTGCAAAACGATTTTTTTCCATACCTTTTCAATTATTTTACAAAATACCCACTTTGCAACAGGAAGAAAATGACTTGCTCATGATTGTGCTAAGATATTTTTTTTAATGAATTCCATCTTGAAACAAAAAAATTTGATTTGTGAATAGATACACACACGTGCACGAGGCATGCCCTTCATTCTACTGTTTGTAAAATGTTCTCATGTATAAACGAAGAGCATTGCGGAGCCCCAGCGGCCTGTGTCCGCGTGCATAGAGGCATTCCTCCCATTACCTACAGCAGCCGCCTTCCTTCAATCATTCACTTGCGAAGGAACTTGTTACGCGACTTACTAATGGTGCAGTAAAGCTGCCAAGTTCCTAATAAGCGGACGTGTAAGAGTCTGTTTTATCAACTAAGTAGCAATTGTTTAAACTGGGAACATCTTGGAATGTTGTTGACTCCTCCGAGTCATCAGCAGAGGTTATGATGACCGTAATGATGACCATCATCATAACATCAGCCATGATCTAACCACCGCTGAATGAAGACCTCCATAAGTCATAGACAATATTACGGTCTCACGATGCATCAATCCATCTAGCGCCTGCACAGAAGAAAAACTCATCACTCCATCTCCCCTGTGGATATTTTATAGCATATTTCCTCCTCCTTTGGCTGTTTTTAGTCTCGACGACCAGCCATCATCTCTTCTCATGACATTAGAATCATGACCTGCCCAAGCCGACTTACTTTTATTCACAGTCAATGTTGTCTCTAACTCTAACTTAGATCTTTTCTCCGATCCATGAATTAATTTGTCTCTAGGTGTAATTAGATGCATGTACCTCTTTATGCTTTTGTTAACTTTTAAACTTATCTTCTATCTTATTTGTCATTGTCCATGTTTTCAATTTACATGTCATAGCAGGTAATATACAATTAATTAAAAACCTTAAGAAAACTTTCCAACATCTGCAGTGTGGCCTGTTAAATAAATGCTGCTTGGTTACTTGGTGTCCTAGGCAAGAGAGCTCCACAAAAACTGAGTGCTTATTCAGCAGAGGACTGAAAACTACAAAATCATTTTATGTCTTGGTGGACTGTGGGTTTTCCCAAAATAATTATGACAAATTAACAAGCAAAAATGTGGAATTGCCAAAATGTTAATAACAATGTCAGCCAACCAAGGGGTATTTAATTAAGTTCACATGTTGCGTTACAATCATGTTCTGATAAGGGAATGCTATAGTGTCACGTCTGCAAATGCACTTTTGGCACGGAAAATGTTAGTGTCGATTTGAGTTACCGCAGCATCTTAATGTATTTAAATTTAAAGGAAGATGAAACCTAAATAAATAGTTGTCACCTTGCAGACGAGTGCATAGGTGGCCTCTCCTGCTATCCAACAAATTTCTGAGGCTTCGTTAAAGGGAAAACTTGAAAGTGATTTTTTTATTAAACGTCTGTTCCCAGGCACTTGCCTACATCTCACTGACAGTGATGTTACGTTGGAACACACTGCATTTGATTTTAAAGTAAAAAAATAATTGACGAAGCTTTATATTCGTATCGTACAGACACCTGCACACAATTGAGGGATACATATACGTGAACTATGTTTGTTTTTAAGTAGCACCTTCCTTCAAAAACATTGACAAAGGTATTCTTGGTTCGTTCGGTAAAGTCACGTGACTTTACCGAAAGAACCAAGAATATGAATCCCTGCAGTCACGAAAGCTTTAAATCAAAATTGACAAACGTAGTTTAAAAAAAGATCACACAGTCCAAAAGTCAAACATCAATAACTAGTTAGTAACTATTAAGCGTGCTTGGTGTAGTTTTAAAATAAAAAAGCATAGCTATGGAGGTTGCAGATTTTTTTTTTTGCAGTGAATCAGACAACCAGTGAGCCAGCAATGTGACCCCATTACCTCGTCTTTGACCTACAGACTTGAGCAGAGAAATGGGAACATCCCCTAAATAGACACACCCTCTCTCCGCTTCACAGACACACACAGAGAGTGTGGGAGAGAGAAGGCTGAACACACAAGCTCACTCAACGAGTCCAAATAGACAACAGCATCACCAAATGAGCATGAACATGAAACTCAAATAAGGATTTCCTTGTAAAACAAAAGAAATGAAGAACACGTAGAAAGTGTGGCTTAATGCTGCATAAAAACCTTAAAGCAAAACCATTTCAAGTACCTGGACGTGGTGCGGGGTACGGCGCAGCAGCCGCGTGCGATCCAGGCGGCTGATATAGCCCAGCACTCTGGCTGCCTGAAGTCGGGGGAGGCCCTGGCCTGGGATTGAACCCAGGCTGCTGCGCTGGGCCAGCGGTGACATTGGTGTTGTTGTTGTGAGGCGGAGGTGGCGGAGCCACCGCCGATGATGCCGACCCGTACTCGTGGCTAATGGGTTGCGTGTACATGTAAGTAGGCATGGGCTGGGAACCACCCATCTGATGCCCCTGACCACCTTGAGCAGGAACGTAGCCGTTCCCCGACATCCCTGCAGGCCCCAAAGGTCCATTCGCCGGCCCAAGCCGAGGGCCAGACATGTGGTTCATGCTGGTCCCAGGCGTCGGTGCCCAGTGGTTGACAGGCGATGGCTGCTGCTGGTGCAGCTGAGGAGGGAATGGCTGGCACGTGCCAGGCATTGGAGACACCCGAGTCATCATGGGTGAGCTCCGGTTTGAGGGTGGGCCCGAACCGCCTCCTGCGTGGTGGTGGCCCCCTGTGCTGTTGGGCGCTGTCGGCGGAAGGCTGTTGGGTATGGGAGACAGCCGGGGTGGCTGTAGGGTCGCCAAGTTGCTAGGGTTGAGTGTGGCAGGGTGGCCGCCCATGGGATTGTACGGGGGAAACCCGGGCATGGCAGGAGGGGGCGCGTGCTTGCCGTCCGCTGGCAGGTGAAAGGTGCCTGGAGGTGGCGTTGCCTGCTGTCCTTGCACAGGCGAAGAGTTCTGATAGGGTCCTGTTGTGAGGGAGAACATGCTTATTCAATTAATTTAATAAGGACGTGAGATGAATACCATCTAATATATCCGGTTTGCAAAGCAATTCACTCGGTCTGGGGGTTTCCAGTCTGGGAGGACACAAGCAGGTGGCTTCATTGAGTAGCTGAAATGCAATGGGCACTGTAGTAGACAATGCTGCTGCTATAAATGTTGTGGATTTACTCTCAAACACACCGCTGGGATGAAGTAGTAACTAACTGGCGTGTTTTGTTTACGTGACAAACCTTATTGACTGTGTCGGGTGGTGGAGGGTTACGACATATTTATATTTATGGGATCTAACCCAAAAACCTTTATTATTCATTATATTGGTGGTGAAAGCCTACGTGTTAAACTAATCAAAATTAGTGTTGGAACCATTCAGTAGTGATATTCCAAGCGCTAACAAATTCTCTATCAGTCCCCATTTTCCCCTCTCATATACTGTGCCCTACAAGGTCCAAATCAATCATGGTTGGTGGTACCAATATATTTTACATCCGGTGTATGTCACTAAAGCAGATTCAGTTTTTACAATTTCCCAGAGGAAATTTTCCCAGAGTAAATTGTAAAGCAATAATGAACTATCACATGTTGCCTGTGCATTATAATTATGAATTAATGAATCCACCTGCAACCATCACACCTGACACTAAAAACAGCCAGATGGAGCTCCACGCCTCCTCCACTTGAAACATGATAAATCACTACACAAGATCGTTGTTAAAACACAACTATGGCTGGCCATTCTACAAGATTATAAAACAGGCTCAGGGTAATAAACATCTTCAACACTCTTTCCCCAAATCATTCCGGCCTTGGCATCCTGTGCTGCGTTCAGCTCCTTGTGCGACCGCTGGCAGCGAGTGAACTTTGGAATGAGAACGGCGTCGTGGCCGCAATCACTGGCAGCCCCCACCACCCAACTGCTGGAGCTGCGCCGTGCGATTATCGGTGGCATAGCTACTGAGTGTGCAGGTGGTGCGACTGCAACGCAATGCATGGGCCAGAGGGGACGCCCAGGCACTCGTCTATGAAGAGGTGGGGGAGACATTGGACAGCGAGCAGAAAAGTGGGGAGGGGTGGTCTATTCCATACACAAACCATGCTACGCTGCTGGTAGTGAAGCATCAGATTAATTATCTATTCGTATTCAATCTTAAATTTACGATACATGCATTGAATAGCACATGCAATAATTCATTATTTTAGATTGGTAAATGCGTTCAATGGCATGACCATTACATTCCCGACCATGTAAAATGTTTCAATTTTTTTTTATTACGGTCTCTCCACATACAGATATAAAAAACCAAGTCCATCGGCCTATTGTCTTCGAGTTTTAGCTGAATTGCAACCGTGAATTTCAAATGACAAATCATTGAACTGCCATGATTGGGGAAGTCGGACGGAAACTGTTACACCTCTGCCGTGTGCCACCACCTTGGGCTACTACTCCAACACCGGCAAAGCAAACAGACTCAGAACGAGTGGGCTTGGGCAGGACACATCGTGAGAATAGATGACCAACGATGGATAAGACTGGGGAAAGAATGTCAGTCAACTGAGGGTACACACGATGCACTCAAAACCTCTACCTCATGACCTCTGAAAAAATCATTCACAACATTATCATTCGTTTCCCTACCTATTCACTCACACATCCATTCGGATCACATTCCTCTAATATGTCCCTAGGAGTATGTGCAGCCTTTATAAATAGTTGCTATCATATTCAGACATAAAAAAATATTGATTGTATTACATCACTCGTGATCATTAACGATGACCCTCACGGCGATAATTGGGTGAACGCTAAAAGTGATTTTGCCACTTAATTCGATGTTTCCTCGCACAAATAAACTATGGTCCTTACACCGGTCGGACATTCCTACAGTCGTGAAAAAGGCGGGGTGGCCTCTTTGCTAAAGGGAATCCGGCCAGAATACGCGTTAAGCTTCCCCTTCTTAGATTCTAAGCCTCACCCTGCCTAGCGGCGCGCGGCTTAAGTCCCTTACTGTTCCCCGCCTGAAGCAAAACTCTCACGCTGTGATACGAGCAATGCGTGAGAGCGGTTAGCAGACTTTGTGATACCGACTGGTATAATCGTGACATGAACGAGTATCAGCGTGAGATCTGAGTGGGGACGTGGACTCTGAGTGATTGAAGTAGCCTCAATGTACGACTGGGTAACAGAGGCCTGAAATTAGCGTCGGTAAGAGATTGACGAGTGACGGCGTGAGACGCTTAACAACTAGCTGTAGTCGAGAAGGGTGGCAAGTGTGGCATCACAACATTCGCTACACACAAAACAAGTAGTACTCCTAACGTACGTCCTACCACCACACCGAGAGACCCCGCATATCACACCCGAAAAGTCAGTTTCAGACACAAATCTCGCGTAACTCCCTTCCCCCAAACCCCGCAGCCTAGGCCGCAGACCACGACACTCGGCTAGTCACCCTGCCGAGTTCTGTGCACCCTCCCCGGTTGGACCGAGCGGCCGCGCACCGTTAGCGTGGGGCCTCTGCCCACCGGCGTAAGGCGCCGTCGCTGACATCCCGAGGCGCCGCCGCCGCCGAGTCTCCGCGTCGCTAAGAGGCTGAACCTCCTCGTCCCGTCCCCGTCTCTCCGTGTGGGGCTCCGCGCCGCTGCCGCCTTCGTGGTATCCTCCGTCTCCGCCCGGAGTCCCCGAGTCGTCACGTCCCTTGGCGGGGTGGGGGGGGGCAGCCGCATCACTTCCGACACCCGCAGGAAATGACGCACCGCCCCGCGCGTGCGCGCTTGGGACACGTGGCAGTTTACCCAGGGTGCGCAGCGATTGGGGAGGAGGAAGGAGGGGGCGGGCGCTGATGTCACGTGACTTGGTAGTGACGGGGAGAGGGAGGAGCGATGGAGCAGCACGTGGCAGTGAGCGCGCACATGGTCCATGCACTCAGTGACTCGTTCGACTGCAGCAGGAATCCGATGAGCTATAAAGCTCATTTTTTACAGTTTCAGTTTATTTTGCTATAGCCCTATGAGCCATTCGGCTCTTGAATCGGGTGCAACCACAACAAACAAACAAACAAAAACACGAACAAGAAAAACATCTTAAAGTGACTATGTGACTGTGCAAACAGAAAATCCATGGAAAAAAAACCAGCAAAAATATTCCCGAAAAAAGCACCGTACACCAACGCTGTGTGCAAAAAAATCCCAGTGGGATGCAAGTCAAACAACAACAACCACAAAAACTTAGATTAAAGCCATCAGTCTAACTCCGTACAAAACAAACATGTCCAAACCAAAAAACATTTTGCATATCACCAAAAAACAAAGCCATAATTGCAACGTAATAGTGATCACAAGGACTGTGACCGAATTTTTACAATAAACTACATAAATAACATGTAACACCAAATCCTAGAGCTATAGCTGGCTGCATGAGTTACTCCACAACAACAGAAGTATCGGTTGGAGTATCAAAATTTTCAATGCACCTTTAAGATCAGCACGCTAAATCAAAATACAGATAATACTTTGCAGCGTCATCCGGAGCGAAACATTTTATTTTATTTTACGCCAATGAATAGCAGTGGCGGCTATGGGTGTAGAACTCCTCTAGAGCAGTTTTGAGAGAAGATCTCATTGGTAGCGATTCAAGTAGCAGTTTATTGGCAAAAGCATTCCAGACTCTGGGGGCATCAATAGCAAAGGCCCTTCCTCCAGTTTTTGTACGGCAATAGGGAATGTGAAGCTGGTAAATGAGCGAAGACCTGAGATGAAATTTGTTCTTTGAAACAGAGAGGAGATCCAGCAGGTAGTCTGCGGATTTTTTTGTAAGTACAGTAGGGGCACGGGGTCAGAAATGTACAACAACAAACAATTCAAAATACGATAAAAGTGCAAAATATAGAAAAAGGTAACCAAGTAACTAAATATAAATAACTAAAGGTATATGTCCGATTTTACAATTCTGAATGCAAGTTTGGACAAGGCAGCAGAACAACAACAAAATCAGTGCCAGACCACACCAAGAGATCGCAGAGTTCCTCAATAAAATGTCACGTTAAAATTGTGTACGGAGCAAAGGTGTAGTGGTTAGCGCACTGCGCTACGAACAAAGAGGCCCGAGTTCACGACCAAGGTCAGTGACGAATACCTTGAACCAGTGCTGAGTCTCTCACCTATCGATGTTGACTCGTCCTTAATTGGGTATCTCGTGTGGTGTGGAAACATCATCACTCGGCAGACAAAGGTGGCCGAGCGTGTTGTTTGCGACAACATCCTCGTGGGCTGTGCAATTGCCCCAAGAGCCAATGTAAGCTATACGCGGGATTGTTGCGTATATGTCAACACAGATTGGCGCGAAAAATAAAGTTATATTTTACACATCCGCTGGGCCTTTCTGGGAGTGCATTTTTCTCACAGCATTGGCTTCGTAAAAGTAAGCTCTAGATCGGTTTCGACATCCAATGTCTCATCAGTAGTCAGGCTTACTTAAACCAATGCTGGTGAGCCGCCCATTTCCATCTCCATGGAGAGCAGTGGGTCTCAATCGGGGGTGATTTATAAGGTGATTTATAAATGTGTCAAATTATATCGTAAATTTGAAACTTTCATTGCATCAATTCGTGTGCAGTTTGTAAGGGCGCGGTGACACAGACCTAATTCATTTAAAGGGGGAGGAGGCGCCTCGCCCCCCCATGTGGAGTGACGTCATCCACTAATTAATATTAATAGTTGGGGTGTCCATTTGGAAGACGTCACCACTTCATGATTATTAATGTGCGGGGCTGTTCGATGTGGAGTGACGTCATCTGCTCATGATTATTAATGAGGTGTGGCGCTACATGTGGAGTGAAGTCACCCGCTCATGATTATTAATGAGGGGGGGGTCCATGTGGAGGGCGTCACCTGTTCATGAGTATTAATGAGGGGGGCTGGCCGACGTGGAGTGACATCACGAGCGGGACACACAGACATTGGCTCATTATAGTAGTCAATTAGAATCATTGGTGAATAATTATGTATGAATATGCCAATACTGTATAACATAGCTACGATAAAAATGTAAATCCACATGGTTACCTAGAATGATATAAAATACCTTTATAACTCATGGATCGTAAACAAGGTGGTTTCCAAGAGCAACCAGCGAGCGTAAACGAATAACCTTACCCATGCTGAGCGTCCGTTAATTTGTTTTATTCGCTTGCAATTAGAAGCTAGTTAGGACACTTCAAAAAAATTACCTCATAGTACCCCGGCTCTCGCATAATGTCCGTGATGCAGTCATTTTTAGTCTGTTGATGGTCGGCGATGCAGCAATCGAGTCATCTCGACGAGCTGTACACGATACACTATTCAAAGTTGAAATTTTCGATAACGGATTTTGTTATGCTGATGTTCAGCGTTTCGACATCGCAGAGTAGCACTGATTTCGGATTGATTGGTACCCCAGTCGCGGAGTTAAGTACACCCCTGGAAAAAATAGTGACCCAGAAATACAATATTAAATTGCCTCGGCCATTTAGTATTATTTGGTACCCCGAGTACCGTCATAAGGATCAAATGGACAATTGGTTAAAATATTGATGTTCATTATTCATACATTTATTTCTCAGAACCATGTTGGGTCAGGCAAGGGGGTACTCGGTTGCGCGTTACAAGTTGAAATTATCATTAGTTACTGGATATGTTTAATTTTAACATACAGTTCTTGAGACCTGAACTTTAATTCCTGTATCTTCCTGTGTACTGAGTCCACGCACTTCTCAGGAATGCGTGGAGGAACGCAGTGGGCGGGCCATGCGGCGGGGGGCGCTCACGTGGTGTTCCGCGTGCGTGCAGAACCTGACGCACTTGCGTGACGTCATGACCCATTCACAGGTGAGGTCACGACTGAGTCACGGTTGTGTTGCGTGAATGCCCAACGAAAAACACCGACGCTGACTGTGTGCGCACAAACAGAAGTATGGGCAGCGGTAGTGTCGCGGTTAGCGCGCTGTGCTACGAACCCGGCCACCAGAATTTGATTCCCGCTCACGGCCAACACCAGTGACGATTATCTGAATGGGTCCCGGGACTATCCTAGGTTAGCCTCAAATGAGTACCTGGTGCGGTGTAAACATCGCCACTAGGGAGAAAAAGGCGGCCGGGCGTGGTGATGGCCACCATAAACCTCGTGTGCCGTGTCGGCCTTCATAGGTGCTCGCTAACAGCACTTGCCCTAACTGTCTATTAAGGCTATATGGGGGTCTTTGTATTTGTGCCTGTCTCATGCCGCGTATGCCTCTCCTCTGTGTGCGTGCTCAAATGTGTAAATGACCAGGAACACCCGACAAGAGTGTAACAGTGCTGGCTGGACAACCACACGTTTCAAACAACAATAGCAGCACCACCACCACCACAGAAACGCGTTAAAATCTTCTGCATTATGCAAAACACCATCAGCAGTTCCTGTTGCTCGCCTTTATTGTGATGGTGGACAAAGACAAGAGGACTAAAATGCAGTTCTTCAGGAACTGATCATATTCTTTGGGTCTTTCGGTAAAGTCACGTAGATAGGTTCAAAGAAAATAACAAAAAACTACGACGTTTCGATCGCAACACAAGCGGTCGTCGAAACCTCGTAGTTTTTTGTTATTTTTTTTATTTTATCCTGTCTACGTGACCTTACCGAAAGACAAAAATAATATGAATTCCTGCAGTCACGAAAGTTTTAAGTCAATATTGAACTGCTAATAGTTTGTTTTCATAATGCACTGAGGCTGAGTGGCCTTTATACATTTCTGTTGTTTGAAACTCCGTGTGTGCGTTTGCCTCACTGTCTCTGTCTCTCCGTGTCTATCTCAGTCCGTGTCCATCTCCACAGCTTCTCTTTCCCCTTCAGCATGGGGCCTCAAGCACCAACAGTACCCAGTTTCATTGTTCATAGAATGTCAGTCAACTGAGGCTACGAAGTTTGCTGCCAAAGTTTTGCTTCCTTAGGTGGTACCAATTAAATTATTCTTCTGGCTCATTCACTATATGCGCTGGCAGTATTTAAAGGACGTACAATAAGTAAATGCATAACAATAATTAGTAATTACACGATTTATGTTTTATTAAAATCTCCACCAGAGAATCGCGTTTCTTAAGCGACGAACATCCAACGGTAGAAAGCAGCTTAGACATCCTCCTACACCTCCCGTGGGTTGGTGGATCACGCAGAGATCTGTGACACTATTCCCCATGGGTCGGTGGATCATGCAGACTTGTGAACACTCCCAAACCCCACGCTGAACTGCGAGGTGCACAGGAGATGGCAATACAGCACGTAGGTTGACGAACCCAGGATGGCGTTAACCCCCTCTCGTCCACGTGGCGGGTTGTTTTGGGTTCTCCGGTTTCATCTCCCACGTGAAGTTAAAACAAAAAACCCTCCTTATTCATTTTAAGGTATTCCCAAATATATCAAGGTTCTTGTGAAAAAAAAGTATTCATAAAAAATATACTTTAAAGTTACGGTCAAGGGAATCATTACAGTCCTCTATTGATGTCACGTTGGATTGCCGTATAATGAATAATATAGTCCATGGGGATTATGCCACGGTGATGCCAATGGGTCATTGTAATGGCACGCTTGACCAAACTTTCAAAGCCATCTTTGCGTCGCAATAACGAATTTTGCAAACGTCACGTGGGGTAGCCTGGGACCCACCGCCGAGATTGTGTGTAGCTACAAGAGCTGCATAATAGAGTTTGTTTTGGATTAGATCGCGTAAATTTATAAATGTGTCGTTAAAACCCGCCACCACCCGACACAGCCAACTAGTAAGGGTTGTCACATAAACAGAATATGCCAATTCGTCACTAGTACAGCACACCGGTGTGTTGGAGAGCCAAGCCACAACATTTACAATCTGAGTACGACGTTTCGCCAGTAATTACATCTAGCTTCATCAGGCGACAGCCAGATTTGTGGAGAAGTCTTAACTGTTTCGTTCCTTATATAGAGGCGTAGATGTGGTGACCACACTTCTGCGCTCTTGCGCAATGTGTGTGGGGGGGGGGGTAGTTTACCGAGTCAACGTACATTATGCATGTACATTATGTATGTTCTGTTTACGTGACAACTCTTACTAGTTGGCTGTATCGGGTGGTGGCGGGTTTTAACGACACATTTATATATTTACGCGATCTAACCCAAAAAAACCTCCATTATGGATAATATTGGTCGCGAAAGCCTACGTGTTAAACCGACAAGATCTGCGTTTATGAGTGGAAGCCAAGCAGGTTTAATCCCGGATAGAGCTTGTGGTGGGTGATCAGCATGCATAAACAGCTTGATGCAGGGCTGCATGGTGGACAGTACAGGAGGCAGTGTAGCAAAATCAATTGTTGTTTTGTACTTCTATGTCTCCAAGTCTATGCCTTCCCCAGCTAAACAAACCTGCACTAACCAGCATGGTGAAGTATGGTCAAACAACCCTCCAGGACCCACGCGGCGTGGGGAGGCCTCATCCACCAGTGGAAAGATAAAAGGGCCGCAAATGTGTTTCTTTGGAGGGCCACACACGGATTAGGTAATATGAAACTGTGATCACACTGGGGGGAGGTATGCATCGACTGTGTTCGATATGACTTCAAAGACAACAGGTGACAGACACCGCGTGCTAAATTAGAAAGTTTTGTCAGGCCAAAATGATCCCCTCTACTACCCGCTTAGTGCACATCACGAACTTGCAGTGATGGTTAAATATCGCTTGCTGTCCTTTAAGTATCGTGGTATGCCTCATTTGGCCACTGGCCGTATGCGGTGATGTCACGAATCGTGTGAAATGAAGTCACGGGCCGCGTGAGATGAGTTCATATAATCTGAAGTCGCGGGGCATTGACGACCGTCAGTTACCGTCCCTGATTTGAAGTGTAGGGACGTGGAACTCTTTCATGCGAGTGCGTGCCATTGCCACCAAAGTGCCCTCTCTCGAGTGTGCGATGTGTGCACAAGTGTTCACTTGTGTTTCAAGTGCTTCGCTTCATTCCACGTCACAGTGTACAACACAAGTGGTAACCACTTTAAATTATGTACAGTAGTATACACGTGTATGCGTGTGTGGTCTTTCTTTTTTAAATTAATAGATTTTTAAATACGTTTCCGTTCTCATCAAAATACAAACCTCATTTGAAATTACAAATAACTGGGGAAAACAACTTCTAATCACAAGAAAAATTGGAAATAACTTATACCAACGTACAATATATACATACGCAATGCACAAACCACAGTGATGACTGATGGATAAACCACATGGCAACGATGGTGCTGCCACGTGAAGATGATGGTGCTACTACGTGGTCGTGATGGTGCCACCACGTGGAAACCATAACGGTACAAAGTGGCTGAAACGTTCTGCCACGTGGAAAAGCTGCGATACGTGTTGTTGCCGCATGACATTGATGATGGTGCTGGTACGTGGCGACGATGGTGTCACGTGGTAACGATGAGGTGTTCCATCAAATTACTACTGATGGTACCCGCCAAGTGGCAACGGCGGTTCTGCCACGTGGAGGATATGGCGCAGCTACGTGGCAAGGCAAGCAACGGATCTCCGTCATAGCTCTCACGGCACCGACGTATTACAACTTTTTTTAGGGCGATTGCGCGGTGACGTCACTGCAGTGCCAAAACGACGAGCCTGAAAGTAACTTTTTTGGGGAAATCAATAAGGAAGCTTCAAGCTCGCACGTGCCAGCACTGGGCACACAGCCTACATGCGCGTAGCTACGATCTAAGAGCTTCCTGTAGTAATCTGCCAGAGGAAATCTTGGCGCTGATAATATCCCCTGTCGAAGATTGTTGACATCCAATGGCTCGCGCGCACATGTTAACGCGGCTGCCAAATACAAACCCAGACCATTGCTAATCTCACGATCCTTCACGGTCCACCACCACCACCAATATCACCACCCTTGCCCTGTCTCATCCCAGAGTCTCCTCTGGCGTTCCCGAGCGCCCATAATTACAGGGTATTTTGTAGAGTTTGCTGATCTATAGTTTTGGGAAACATTCATACAGAATAAAATTTTGGGTTTATATAACGTCGTAAATTCGACCCCCATAATCGCGATGCTGAACAGCAACAATTGGCATATTTTTTTAGGTTTTTATGTAGACAGATAGTCATAGGTCTCTCTGTAAGTTTATGGGTCTCTAAACGAGTCTATCGGTCTGTGTGTGTGTGTTGAGGTGGCCGCATGGCTAAGTGACTGGTTAGCACTCTAAGCACGCACCAATGTTGAGATCTCAACAGGTTTAAACAAGCCTCATCGGCCACACGGCATGGGGAGGTCTTCATCCACCAGTGGATTCACCAAGGGCCTGTGTGTATGACTTTATTTTTTACTTGATATGTGTGTCATGTGTGTGTATTAGATATCAAAGACAAAGATCCCCCGTATAGCCTACACAGGCTGTTGGGGCAAGTACTGTGAGCAAGCACATACTGAATAAATGCCGGCAGGGCACACGAGGGGTGTTTGGCCAGCATCACGCCCGGTCGCCTTTCTCTTTGTCGTACTGTGTACGTTAGAATATACTCTCTGATCTCCAATAGGCTTTATCCAGTCCATCTATAATTATCATCTCACTCTCTCCACGAACAGTGATGTTTACATCAACTATACTCGTTTGAACACGTAGAGCATTTACAATAAAAGATACATCAATCCACTCGCTTACAAATATCTATAGAGAAAAAAATATCATCACTCGTGATAATCGAAGAAAATTAATTGTCTCACAAACGTGGATAGATTGGGAGGAAAGGTGGAGGTTGTTTAAATGTAAATATACAAGCCCGAAGCAACAACACGACCTCAGCTCTTATCTCGTAGCTCCACCGTACACTTGGCCGCGTGTCCTGGGCTACCCCCATCGGCTCCCCGCTGACCAAGTCTGGAACTCACAGCAGTGATGAGGCGAGCGCGCTCTGGTGGCGGGGTAGCTACGAGATACGAGGTCACGTTCTTGCAAGGTCGTGTTTCGTGTAAACTAAATACTACACGGAGATGGAGGCTGTGCCAGGGGGGTCCAGACCAAATGCCCCGCACGCCCCACTCTCACAAGATCAACTGGCGATCTTTTAAACATAACGAACTGTAAAGTCGACGGTAATTTTAAGGCCGGCGGATCAGCTATGCATTGGTACCCCCGACCCCCCGCCCGACCCTCGTGGTGTTTGGACTCTATTCATATTGAGCCCCAACCCCCAAATCTGAAATATCCAACGGGTTGGTACCTACAAATACTGTGTAGTATATAGATCCCTCTGTTCAGCCTTAGAGACTGTTGGGGAAAGTTCTGTGAGTGAGCAGCACCCGTTAGGGTTGGTGCACAGGGTTGGTGCACAGCAAACACAACCATGCCGTGAACAACACAAGCACATAAGCACTCATGTACCAAAGACAAAGATCCCCAGTATAGCCTCGAACGAACTGAGTGCAAGTGCCACTCTCGAGCACCGATTAAGGCCGGAACGGCACACGAGGGGGTGGGTGGCCAGCACCACGCCCGACTGCCTTTGTCTCCCCAGTGTTGATGTTTACACAACGCACTAGGTACTCATCTGAGGCTGAATCGACCTAGGGAAGGCCTAGGACCGGTTCAGATAATCGTCACTGGTATTGGCCGTGCAGCCACCCTCATCCATCCACTCCCGTGCATCGAAGCACACCTCCAATGCTCATAGAGCCAACCTAAGGCACCCCTATTGTAAGCAGGGAGAAGACCCCTGCCGTCACGGACACAAGAGTTCGTGACAAGAGACGGGGGTGGGGGGGGGGCTGATTACAGAGGTACACGACTCTCCCTGCTGGTACTAGGCGAGGGGAGCCGGCGTCGTGACGGAGAACTGGGTGAGGGGGTCGGGGTCCAAGTCAGGGTTTAACTTCAGCCGCGCACGGCACACCACATCCAGTACACATCTCGCTATGGTCGTGGCTACTAGTCACATGGCCTGCTCCTCCAGTCTACCAGCGACCCGTAAAGCACTCTGTGAGAAACACGGAGGCATGGGGTACAACGGGGAAACGAGCCCCTGCCCCCTTCTCCTCCACCGGGTAGAAAACGGTGACCCCTCAAAGGTCACAGTAGTCACGAGTCACGTGGGCGCTCGGCCACGTGGAATTAGTTCCAGGGCAGATGAAAGGAGGGGAAGAGGTCTGGCGTGCTTTGTCTCGCCTCAGTGAGCAGCACCAGCGCGCACAATGGTCACGTGAACAACATCTAAGGGAATTCATTTCAGACGGAGCTGTCCGGGGCTAAACTCCGGAAACGAAGTGGGGGGTGGCGGCGGGTGTGGGGAGGGGTCTGGTGGAATGTAGGCTTGCGGGACTACTGGAAAATATTCCGTGAGAAATGAAACCCCCTCTTCATATCAACGAGGACAACAAAGCGAACGTGAATGGCCAATAAGGAGGCAACGTGACGCCCCTCAGGACGCAGGCTGTGAAACTAAAACAGCCTCAACACATTGCTCAATAACCCTGCCTGCACAGGGAAAGACACGTCTCGGGCAATGGCCCTTGTTCGTGTGCTATGAAGAAGGGCCATTGCCCGAAACGTTGCGTGGTGTGTTATTTTAAGGCCATAGTGTTGACGAATGTATTGAGTTTCGTGTTGTTTGTGCGCCACTCTCAACACAGCAGCAGAAGCAGCACCACATACTTGGTGACAGATTAACCAGACGCCTGTGTCTTGTGGATATGCATCCTACTGCAACCGAATCTCCCTGAATGATGCTCATCTCGTCAAATTTCAGAAGCTAAGCAAAGTCGAAGCCTGGTGAGGTCTTGGGTCTGGTGACCACCAGGAGCTTGGCAGCTGTCGAAGTGGCGCTGCGATGCCTGCGGGAAACCAGTAGATGGCAGTAGAGACGGGAGATACAGTACGACACGTGGTCTGCTGGCTCGCATTGCACGGGAGATACAGTACGACACGTGGTCTGCTGGCTCGCATTGCACGGGAGATACAGTACGACACGTGGTCTGCTGGCTCGCATTGCACGGGAGATACAGTACACGTGGTCTGCTAGCTCGCATTGCACGAGAGATACAGTACGACATGTGGTCTGCTGGCTCGCATTGCACGTATGTGGATTGAATCTGTGCGGAGCTTTGAATGGAACACTGAAAACGCGGAGTGGCTAAATAGAAAGAACATGGAATGGAACAGTGAAAAAAATCACGGAGCGGATCAGAGGAAAACACGAAGTGGATCACTCAAAAATATGGAGCTGATAAGTGGAAATCAAGGAATGGATATAAAGTAAACACGGAGTGGATCATTTACAAAAACGGAATGCATCTGTGGAAAATACGGTGCGGATCACAAGACAACAATGAAACACGTGGACTATATCACAGGAAAACAATGAATGGATCACTGAAAAATGCGGAGATTAGACCACTCTTCCCACCCCAGATCTAAAGATGCAGTCTTCTCAGTCCGCCCGCACTGCTCGTGTATTAAACGGCACACAGCAGAAGGGAGCACGCCCCTCTCCATCACACGGATAGATGCTGGAAACTGAGGCTCCTTACTCCACTGGGTATATACTCCAGGCCGCACTTCACGAACCACACATCATTATCGCAAGTGCACACTCAGTGGTGATTCTATTTTGGGTATTCTAGGGAGCTCCGTTCCCACCGCCCCCCTTCCCTAACCAACAACAGTGCCCCCAGAAAGTCGCGTGTCCTCCCAAATTCGGAGGCAGCTGGGGGGCCACTCGTGTCAGGTTCAGAGGTCATTTCCGACACCGCTGTTGGACTCCAGCTCACTCCTCGCCAACGCTTCTTTCTTGCAAGATACCGCAGCAGCAGCACGGTCGTCACCACGCAACCCCTAGGTCCGGAGTCCCACTCGTTGAGTCCTAGAACCACCGCTAGCTGCTGCCTCGACGCAACGGCGCAGAAACAGCGCCAGCAGCCGCGAGCCACGGGCGCCTCTGGGTTCATAATGTCCGTCTCTCCTCACCGCGCTAGGAGCCTCCGGCGCCGAGATGCTGCAGGGCTCTCAAGCCCAGAGTCGGCCCATGGAGCCGCGCGCTCACGTCGAGTGGCGATTCCCCGTGCTCTCTGCCCGCTCAATTTCGCTTTGGCGTAATCCTCTTCTCATCCCACTCGGGGTGTGGATAGTTATTATTATTAGCCCGTGTGCCCCCCCTCCTCCAAAGTTAAGTGATGCCCCCCCCTCCCATTCCGTTACCCCATCTTCACTGGGCACGACACCCAGCACTGGCTCGCACACACAGCGCGTGGTTGAGAAGCCCCTGACAGAGACAGCTGGGCGGAGGTGAGCAAGGGGTCGGTTGTGGTGAGCGAGGGGTCGGTGGGGGAGAGAGCCAAGCGATGATCCCCTCTCTCCACGGACTCTTGAGTGAACTACCTCCCCCCCGCACTGAGGTCGCTCACCTCCGCAGTTTCCCGTTGATGGCCTGTCTGTAGCTGCGCCGCTCAGACACGTTCCGGGGGGCTCCTTTACCGCCCGCCGCGCCCGACGCAGTCTGTCCCTGCTGCTCCCCCTGCTGCTCGCCCTGCTGCTGCTGTTGATAATCTTGCTGCGGCTGCTGCTGCTCACTCACAGAAAGGCTAGAACAGGTCTGGGGCAGGGTGCCAGGACTCTGGCACAACTCCCGCCCCTCTCCTTGCCCTTCCTCTTGCCCTTCTCCTTGCCCCTGCGCAATCCCTTGCTCCCGCCCGTGCCCTTCCTCCAGGCGTTGCCCTTCCTCCTCATGCTGCTTCGGGTGACGCTGCTGAGGCTGCTCCGCTCGGTGCCGAGAGCCTCGCCTCCGCTCCGGAGCCGCGCCCTGCTCGCTCTCCTGCCCCTGGCTCTGCCCAATGCCCAGGGCAGCCTCCACCACGGCCAGGTCGTCGGTGCCGGCCGCAATCTTGTGTCTCAGCAGGCGTAGGTACGTCTCGTAGCGCGTCTTCTGCTCAGACGCACGGGGAGCGGAGGGGGGTGGGGGATTTGGGATCGTTTATCAATCACACGTGGGCCGCGCACGGACCGCCCACAGTGGCCTGGCGCTCGGTGACCAGCTCCTGATGGAGTGCTCGAATGTGACAATGCAGACCCTGATTCTCCTTCTCGTGTCCTACCACCACCGTCAATATGTTTACCCAGTATTGGACACGTGACGATGAAGACAATGATGGTGACGATGATGATTATGACGTGGCTCGGTCTGCAAGCCCTGGCGAGATTCCCCACGGTGCACCGGTCCCGGGGGAGCCGGCACAGCGGTGTTGGTGCGGCGCTGTCTGCGTCTCTCCGCGGTGACACGCCCGCCGGTGTCGCTAGAGTCGCCACACAGTCCGCACGCTGACTTTTAACCCGCCCACTCCGAGGAACATCCATCATTCGGGGTTCGCAGATTCAATTCAACTCACTGGGGCCGTGACGAGAGCGTTCCTGCTTTGGCCCCCGAGACCCCCCCCCCCACCTGGTGTTGAAAGGTGCCGTCCCGTGTCCGTGATACGGATCCTGCCTCCAGGGGGAGCCCTCACACAGCGCAGCTCAACCTCAGTTAAGTAAGGACAGCCGCTGGTGCGGTTGCTTTTAACGTCTGTGTGGTGCCGGTCACCCACCCCCCTTGAGAGGCGCTCGCTACCAGTGCTCATCCCGACGTGCTGTAGAAGGCTACGTGGGGATCTTTGGCACACACGTGCAGGGGTGCACCTCGAGCAGCAGGTAGGTCTCGCGCAGCCGGTGCTCGTGCTGCTCCTTGGAGCGCGAGCGCCGATCCGGCCGCGCCTCCTGGTGCTGGGCCAGCTCCGCGCAGAGCGCCGCCAGCCGGTCCGCGTGGCACCGCATCTGCTCCTCCTTCCAGCGCCAGCAGAATCAGCGCCAGCAGAAGTATCGGCACCAGTCGTACGCGCATCAACAGCGGCAACAACACCAGCTCAAGCATCAGCAGTATCGAAACTAATTGTATATTTTCGGGCGTCTTTACTCAAGGCGCTGGACATGGCTTACAAAAGAGTGACAGGGGCGTGCTACAAGGATTGAGGAACGATTGACAGTGATACAGGGGTACTTAGGGAACAGGAAAGGGCTTTAGGGGTGGGAAGGAGTGGAGGGGCGAAAAGGAAGAGAATGGGCGATAGAGAAGGGGCGAGGCTTTAAGAGGGGAACGGAAGGAGGTTACGGAAGGGGACTGCTTCATGTACAGGGGACATTGATTCCAGTGGAGGGGTGCAAGGAGGGAGAAGGCTCGAACATGGCGATTGGGCACAGGGGGACGGAGGGACAGAGAGAGAGAAGATTGGGAACGAAGAGGGTGAAAGCCGACATGGAAGGAGATGACAGAGTTCCAGCAACACATTCACCGTCATCAGAAGCAATGTCAGCAGCAGGAGCATTCGCAGTATTAACAGCAGTTTAATGCAGCAGTTGCTTCAACAGTATCAGCAGCATCAGTATCAGCAGCAGTAGTAGCAAAAGTGTTGACACCAGCAGTACAAAGCATCATCATCATCAGCAAAAGCAGCAGCAGTATCAGCAACATCACCATCATCAGAAGCAGCATCAACAACTATTGCAGCAGCCGTGTCAGAAGCAGTGCCATCAGGAGTAGTGATCTCAGCAGCAGCAGGAGGATTAGCATAATTGGTTTGAGTAACAGCAGGCTGCTGCAACAGCTGCACCAGCACTATTAACACCAGTAGAAGCAGCAGCAATAGTATCAGCAGCGTTATAACAATTATCAACATGTTATGATCGTGCTAATTATCATCGTCATGTTTTGGTGGTTCATTGTAATCACCAACAGCATCAGCATGTCATTACTTCCACCTCCATCATCATCAGCACCATCACATACTCATCCCATTATCCTTACTGTCCCCCCCCCCACACTCACACTCCCCCCCACCCCGTACAGCCGTCTCCATCCACAGCCCCCTACCACCCCCACAGCCACCCCAGCCTCTCTCGCACGAGGACATCGTTAAACCACAACGCTTCGGAGTCAAATATAAAATAACTCCCCCCCCATCCTCCTACTGTGTAAGCCTGCAACACCTGGCAAGTTCACCAGCATTGATTCCAGCAAGCTCGACTCTGCTGATGAGAAGACTCTGGGTGTCAACACCGGTCCAGAGTGCTGCTTGTCTTGCATCGATGCTGCTGACGTGAAGCACTCCCAGAAGGCCGTGCGGCTGACGGGTTGTGTAAACAAAATACTGTTTTACTTTGTAGAAGGGCGGCTATGTGAAGGAGGCGGCGGATCGTCTGCGTGAGTTTATTTTGCGTAAGCATCGCCGCTTCAGCGGATTTCAGCTCTAATAGATATTTGAAAAATAAAGCTGACATTTAGCGCGAATATCGTCCTGCCTGTGTAAGTTAACGATACAACCATTGTTGGCTTGCGCTTGGCATGATCTCAAAGGCAAAATCTTCACTTCCAGGCCCATTAAATATTACGGTCTGCCGGGTGATTGATTTCCCTACGAGGGCAGGGTCAGGCTAAAGTCCTACATCGCTCCACGTCTCGTGCTAAACACTCACGCTCACCATCCCCATCACTCGTCCGCGCACCAAGTCACTCCCCCACCCCCGTGCAGTGTGACTCCGTCGCCAATAGAAACCGGATGAAGCCGGCGAGCACGGACTGGTGACGAGAATGGAGTGGTTGTATGTTCCATCGAGCTAATCCCCCCCCATTACACCGGGGGCGTCTCACATCGCTGCACATCATCGCATCTCAACGCGTTTGAAAGGGCGCACCCCCAGTGGCAGCTGTCCCTGTGCAGCACGAGGCGACTCGGTACCTGACGTGCACAGGGGCTTTCGGCTGCCCGTAGGCAGGAGAGGGGGGCGATGATGGCCGCTCCGCATCATCCCAACTGAGTGACCTACGGGGGGCGTTTTCGAATTTGGGCAAATTTGGACCCTGACGTCAGTGTTCTGTCAGCCAATTAGTGATGAGTGTTTCTACACGTGGGAAGAAACCGGAGCACCTGGAGAAAACCCACTCGTGTGAGGGGGCAACACTCTATCCCATGCAGTAGACAGTGAATACATTAGTCCGCCACATTGGTGCGCAATACACCAACCCTCGCGGCCTCCACCATCGCCCGGCTATGACCTGGTGGCCAGGAGATGGTAGTACAGCAAGTGGGTTCGCGGACTCATCTCTAGGCAGACCTTTAGAGAAGGCCATCCCCTTGTTTGTGTCGCGAGCCCCTCCGGTTTTCTCTCACTCAAAGCCAAACAGCTCTGTGTGTAACCAGAACACGAATTCTGAGCTCCATAGCCAATAATGGCTCACCGGGGAGCAATTAACACAACCTCCAGGACCACACCGCCCCCCCCGGGTGTTAATTTGTATAGTACAGAGAGAGCGCAGGGTGAGAGATTGTGATGGGTTTGATGTAGGTCACCATGGCAACCGTTGGGCTTACATATTTACAGCCCACGGTCGATCCACTGCTGCATGAGGGCCTCATGCCGTATCGGTCATGGTGGGGCGGGGGATGTTTGGCCATACTTCCTCGGCCACGTTTAGCCCCACCCACCTGAACCCCATTGGGCTGGGATTTGGCCCACGAGACCAGACCAGACATTTCACTTTGTCGGTACCACCCGAGGTGGAGTGACCTCAGCAATTCCAATTATTTTTTTCGACTATTAGTCGGGTTATCAAATACGTCACCGTTATTAGCCGTATCAATGAATCAGTATAGCTAAAGTGTTGCTACCTCAGGTGGTACCAATATCTGCTCTGGTTCATGGACGAGGTGTGTTTGGAGTGGTGGGGTTGTCGCGTTCGGGGTGTTGGGGTTATGGCGGTAGGGGTGGAGGTTTTGCGTTGTCTCACGGGAGGCAGCTTGGTGGCCATGGACGGCAGAAGAGGGCGGCTGAAGCGTTTGGTGGAAGCCGTGGCCGCCGGGAACGGAGGCGAAGAGAACTCCGCAGCCACCACATTGATCCGGAAAATCCACGACTCCATCTCCTCGTGGCTCCTGGGAGGGAGGGGAGAACTCAATTTGTGGTGTTGGTGTTGGTAGTCGAAGTGGCGATGGTGGTGGGTGTGGAAGTGGTGGAGCTGTAGTTCTGCTGGAGTTGGTGGTTGTGATATCAGTTGTGGTTGTTGCGCTGCTGGATGCCACAGCTGGCATCGCGGTTGTCGGTTGTAGTGATTGTGGTTGTAGCCGTGCGTGGTGCACAAAGTAAGGAGGAGGATGTTGGTGATCATCCTCATGATGTTGATGATGTAGGAGGAGGAAGTCGGTGGTTATAAAGATTATGATAATGGTAGAGGAGGAGGGAAGAGAGATAGGGGGAAGGGTGGAGGGGGGAGGTTGGAGGAGGGTGGAGGGGGGGCAAGGGGAGGAAGAAGGGGTGTGGCGCAGGGGGAGAGGGCTTCCTCACGGTGCCTGCAGGAGCAGCACCCTCCAGTCGGCCGTCACGAGGCGCAGCACGTGGGGCCGCTTGCCGTAGTCGCGCGCCATGGAGGCGGCGCCGTGGTGGATGCTCACCGCGTTGCGCAGCTCCTCGTCCGTCAGGGGACCCACGGGGCCCTTGTCCCCCTGCAGCGCCACCACAACCGCCACAGCCGCACTGACAAATCCGGCACTGCGGTGGCACGCGCCCGCGTTCCGGAACTTTCGAAGCAAAGGGGTCGCCGGATCACGCGAAGATTCGCGAAACTTCCCATCCTGCCAGGCTGCGAGGCGTGGGTGGTGTTCTCCGGCTACTCCGGGCACTCCGTCCGCACACACGGGGTGCGGGGTGTTCAGTGAGCACGGCGGGCCCTGTGACGGTGGCCTCGCTGCACTTTTCCTGCAGCTCTTTGCAAGCAAGAAGCTTTTAGGGGAGACGGCGTGCTGGGGGGTTAATGGGGATGTGGGCAGGGGGCCTGGGGGCAGTTACCTGGTGGAGGGTGAGGGGCCACACGTGCCTAGACTCGAGTCCCCCCCCCCCATTCTGCCACCGCCACCGCTGTCTGCTCTTCCGTGCGTTTTGTAACCGAGCGCTGCGGCCAGCTGCCGTTGTTTGCATGGAGCGAGCGACAGCTCGAGAGGTCGATCGTCAAATGTGCAACATCTGCGGGACCCTCGCAGAGGGAAGGAAGCAACGGCGTGCTACGCTGCTGGCGGTGGTGGCCGCCAAGGAGCTGTTACAACATTTTACCGGGCCGCCCCGCGGCCCCCCACACCACTCCTCCACCACCCCCCACTCACACTCACCTTGTGAAGGTAAAGCACCATTCCCCGCAGCGCAGCTGTGAATGCCTTCCAGCCGCGACGACCTTTGGGAGCTGAAGGTGTCGGTAATGGAGATAGGGACACAGCAGTGACTCACACAGCCAGTAACACACCAACCTGCCTATCCACCCACCCATATAGCCACTTATCTACTTATGTACCCACTCATTCAAGCATCTATCCACCCGCCCACACACCCTTCCAACTGCCCGCACACCCACACACCCAGCCACCCACACACTCAGCCACGTACCCACCCGCCCGCCCACCCACCCACATACCAGCCCACCCACCCACGACCACACTCACTGCGCCGGCCGTCGATGTCGGCGTGGGTCTTGCGCACCAACAGGCCCTGCTTGTGTGTGGCGGCGCCGGGGTCCGGCACCAGGTCCAGGAAGGGGTTGCTGCCGCTGCTGCTCAGGCGGCCGGGCGTGGGGCGGCTCCCGCCGGAGCCCCCCAATCCCAGGCGGCCCCCCGAGCCGTCCCGGCCGCCCCCGGGGCGATCCCCGTGGTCCTCCACCAACTCCGAGAGCGAACGGCGCAGCTCCTCATCGTCACTACCGGGGGGTGAAACACGTGATGAGGAGCATGATGATGATTGTGATGATCGTGGTAGAGGTAGTTATGGTGATTATGAGGGTGATAATGGGGATATAAATTATTTTGGTGGTAAGGATGGTGGCGGTTTTGATTATTGTAATGTACAGTGAGGGAAAAAAGTATTTGATCCCCTGCTAATTTTGTACGTTTGCCCACTGACAAAGAAATGATCCGTCTATAATTTTAATGGTAGGTTTATTTGAACGGTGAGAGACAGAATAACAACAAAAAAATCCAGAAAAACGCATGTCAAAAATGTTATTAAATGATTTGCATTTTAATGAGGGAAATAAGTATTTGACCCCTCTGCAAAACATGACTTAGTACTTGGTGGCAAAACCCTTGTTGGCAATCACAGAGGTCAGACGTTTCTTGTAGTTGGCCACCAGGTTTGCACACATCTCAGGAGGGATTTTGTCCCACTCCTCTTTGCAGATCTTCTCCAAGTCATTAAGGTTTCGAGGCTGACGTTTGGCAACTCAACCTTCAGCTCCCTCCACATATTTTCTATGGGATTAAGGTCTGGAGACTGGCTAGGCCACTCCAGGACCTTAATGTGCTTCTTCTTGAGCCACTCCTTTGTTGCCTTGGCCGTGTGTTTTGGGTCATTGTCATACTGGAATACCCATCCACGACCCATTTTCAATGCCGTGGCTGAGGGAAGGAGGTTCTCACCCAAGATTTGACGGTACATCGTCCCTTTGATGCGGTGAAGTTGTCCTATCTCCTTAGCAGAAAAACACCCCCAAAGCATAATATTTTCACCTCCATGTTTGACGGTGGGGATGGTGTTCTTGTGTTCATAGGCAGCATTCCTCCTCCTCCAAACATGGCGAGTTGAGTTGATGCCAAAGAGCTCCATTTTGGTCTCATCTGACCACAACACTTTCACCCAGTTGTCCTCTGAAGCATTCAGATGTTTATTGGCAAACTTCAGACAGGCATGTATATGTGCTTTCTTGAGCAGGGGGACCTTGCGTGCGCTGCAGGATTTCAGTCCTTCACGGCGTAGTGTGTTACCAATTGTTTTATTGGTCACTATGGTCCCAGCTTCCTTGAGATCATTGACAAGATCCTCCCGTGTAGTTCTGGGCTGATTCCTCACCGTTGTCATGATCATTGCAACTCCACGAGGTGAGATCTTGCATGGAGTCCCAGGCCGAGGGAGATTGACAGTTCTTTTGTGTTTCTTCCATTTGCGAATAATCGCACCAACTGTTGTCACCTTCTCACCAAGCTGCTTGGCAATGGTCTTGTGGCCCATTCTAGCCTTGTGTAGGTCTACAATCTTGTCCCTCACATCCTTGGAGAGCTCTTTGGTCTTGGCCATGGTGAAGAGTTTGGAATCTGATTGATTTATTGCTTCTGTGGACAGGTGTTTTTTTATACAGGTAACAAGCTGAGATTAGGAGCACTCCCTTTAAGAGTGTGCTCCTAATCTCAGCTCGTTACCTGTATAAAAGACACCTGGGAGCCAGAAATCTTTTTGATTGAGAATGGGGTCAAATACTTATTTCCCTCATTAAAATGCAAATCAATTTATAACATTTTTGACATGCGTTTTTTTGGATTTTGTTGTTATTCCGTCTCTCACTGTTCAAATAAACCTACCATTAAAATTATAAACTGATCATTTCTTTGTCAGTGGGCAAACGTACAAAATCAGCAGGGGATCAAATACTTTTGTTTCCCTCACTGTAGATGGTGATGATGATGATGACATAAATTATGTTGGTGAAGTCAATGATGGTTTGATTGGAATGGTTATGGTGGTGTTACTGGTTAAGATAATGGTGGTAGTTATGATGATAATAATGATGCTGATTAACATTATTCATATAACGATGATGATTCGGCAATAGCTGTAATGAAGCTTCTGCATCTGCTGATTATGCTAGATGCTGTTGCTGATGATGAATGCCTTTCACTGAACACGCAATGTGTTTTACCGAACTCCAGTCCCATCACCTCCACTACGTAAAAGCATTTAAATGTTTACAGTGGCAATAACGCATACGGCCAATGACAACAAATGCAATAATTATATGAAATTAAATAATAACAACAGATGACATCACTCACATGGCCCATTCAAGCTTCTCGTTCTTGATAGAGTTGTACAGTGCCTGCCACCCACACAAACAACAAACAACAATAAAGCGCTTAATCCAAAAGAATCCGATTCCAGATCGAATCACGATGATCACAAATCGTGACGATGAACCGAGTCTCCAGGAGCAGGTGTTGTTGGGGGGGGGGGGGGGTATCACGTGATTAAAATTCTCTCATCATCAACATCGTCAACATAATTTTCACCGCCATAATCACCACCACCATTGACCCCACTACAACCAGCACCATCATCAACAGCATCATCACCTCCACCACAGCAACAGCATCATCACTCCACTATCAACATCGTCAACATCAACAACAACAACAATATCCTTCGATTTAAAGCTTTCATGACTGCAAGGATTCATCTTCTTGGTTCTTTCGGTAAAGTCACGTAGAATGAAGAAGGCTACCTGTGTTGTGGCCGAAACGTTGTGAGAATTTTATTGTCTTATTTAGTTTTATTGTTTTATTCTCATTCTACGTGACTTTACCGAAAGAACCAAGAAGAACAACAATATCATCAACAACTTCACCATCATCCCACCTTCCTCTCCGACTCGGGATCGGCTTTGCCCCCTCTCGCAGTGGGCCCCCCACGTCGCCTCGTGGGAGATACCGCCGGAGCCCTGCGGGGAGGCCGAGGATTATGCTGCTGGTGCGAGGGGGGCCCCACCGAGCGTGCCGAGCGAAACTCGGCGACTGCCACGAGGCCCCCCGAGCCCCCCGTGCCCCCTAAGCCGCCGAACCCCGAGCGGCCCCCCAGGTCGAGCGGGGGGTGCAAGCGGGAGAGGCCCGCGCACGAGTTGGCGCTGTTCACTCCGATCATCGTCGGACTCGTCGTCACGAGTCGAGGCGACGCGGGAACCCAGGGGCGCGGCGGGGTGGAGGTGCAGACAGCAGTGCTCACCGGTCTAGATCACCAGCTCTAACTAGCTCTAACTAGCTCTAACCAGCTCTAACTAGTTCTAACCAGCTCTAACTAGCTCTAACTACCACTAACCAGCTCTAACTAGCACTGACTAGCTCTAACCAGCTCTAACCAGCGCTAACTAGCGCTGGCTGCTCTGGTAACCCGCAATATTTCATTCATTCGCTCTTTATTACATTAACATGGCGCAACCATTCAACTTGGAAAGCGCATTCAGAGGCGTGGCGGGCTCGGCAGGGGGAGGCCACTGGAGGCGATCAGCCTTGGGGAGACCCACAACACCAATCACTGTCACACCTGGATCACCAGCAATAATTAACCAGAACCAACAATCCTAAGCAGCCTTAACCAGCACCGACAACGCTGATTAGGCAACCACTACCATCTCTGATCATCCCTGCCGCGTGAACGATCCGGCAAAGAATATCTCTCTGGCGTTGACCTTCCGCGATGCTTATGGGACCACAACCCCTAAACTGCATCCATTGGACAAACCACGCCAGCAGCAGATGATGCGGATACCTGGTGACGACGACGATGATAATGCACAGATGGGAAATTAAAACCCCAGAACAGATTCAGAAATACGAATCAATAGGAGACATCATCACCACAGCGATTCACCACCACTCCGCTACTCCTGACGCAATCATCTGGCTCATTAACCACCTCGAAGTAAAATTATAGATGTTGCTCAACATCAATATCAGCCTCGCGAAGATGAAGATCATCAGCCCTAACTAACGAGCTCTCTACTGAACCGCATCAGAAGATCGCGCGGTGGACCTGGCTGTCGCCTCCTACACCAATTGACGATTCCGAGTATCCCTGGCAGTACGACTGCGGTGAGCGCTCTCACGCCATGGACCACATAGCTACGCCCAATCTCAGCTTTGATCAGTCGCCGCCGTCAGAATTCAAGATAATTCACCACGAGGCAACTCCTCCTGGAGCCATCCTCTGGCTCAGCCACCAACCTCGACACGACGCTAGGGACGCAGAAGAAAACCCTTTACGGTCCATAAGCAGCAATATCAACACCGACCAGTAACCATCAGCACTAACAAGTGACAGCGGATAGCCACCACGTGCATGGCAGGCAGGGACCCCTCAGCCCTAACCACTGCCCCAAGGCTGCGGCTCCCCGCCGCCCCTACAGCCCCCCCCCCACACACAGCGCGGCTCCCTGTGAATGGCTGAGCTCACGGCTGAGTGAATGAATGAGCGAGTACGGGAGAATCACAACGCGAATGTAGAACGCGGTGACGTGCGACACCCCCCGCCGCGCTTCTCAAGAATGAATGAGTGAATCAAATGCCGAGCGAGTGTATTCGGGAACGAACAAAATAAATGAATTATTGAATGGCTCAACGTATTAGTACATCAATTAATGGATGAATATCCGAGATAATTAATTGCACTGCAACGAGAGTTCTCATTTATTATTATCAAGCGTCTATAAGAGCTCACCTCAACAACACATGTACCAGTGAATGACTGAACGAACGAGTACGTACATGTAAGAATGACCGAACAGAATCATTTAGTCTTAAGCAACGAGCGAATTCGTTAACGAATCAAATACATAAATTAAATCGCAATTTGGATTCACGAAGCGTCTTAACGCGACCGCCTCTCAACAACGAATACGCGGCCTGAGCGGAATGCGTCACCGAGCGAGCGAGCGAGCAGCAGACCGAATGGCCGAGTGAACGAATCCACAAATAAATAACCGACTGAACGAGCGACGGAATGAATCAACGAGAATGTGGTGAGAGACGACGCTATGCCGAGACCCAAAGCGGCGCCACCGTCCACGTGTCGTGAGCAGACGAAACGAGCTGTGTGTGCTTGCACCGAGAGCAGCAGCAGTAGTCACCCGAGCTCTGCTTGCGAGAGCAATGATCTTAGACTATGGACGACTGTGCTCTGATAGGCAGCACCCAGCGCATGCATTGACAGTTGCTGGATAACCGAACGCAATCGCTGAATGAAGCAACGAGACGAACGAGTTGGAATTGTCGTTGTTGGATGTGCATCACCAAGTGTGTTTATTTCAATCTACAAATGAATTAAGGAACGAAGATTACGTTTACAATGACTGAGTTGACGAACGGCTGCCTGGAAATGATATGGGCTGAGTTACTGACTGATGGAATTAATGAAGAGATGAATTACAGATTAAATTAATCAATAACGGAAAGAGTAACAATGCATTAATAATAATTAAACTTACTTGGAGCGTGTAGAGAAACGGACAAAGCAATTTTCGATTACAAACTCGGAAAAATGATTGAGTGAATGAATGACCGAGTAACTGAATGACTGGATGAATGAAACAACAAACAGCAAACCCTCTCCCGCCGCCTTCTTATCTCCCACCCCCCACCCCTCCGCCCCCCGCCCCCCTCGTTGAGCGTTCCCGGACCCCCCTGAGTGCACGAATCAACCTCACTGCGGGCTCCCCACTGAGCCCACACCGTTTACGTCGACACAGAAAATCATAGAACTAACAACAATAACATCAGCCGCGACATACGACCACGTGTTGCTAACCCGTCACCGCACGTGACCAGCACGTTACTGGAGCGTTACTGCCATCCCCACAGCACCATGTTACACGCACAAACCGCGCTACTCGCTGCACCGCTGCGCCTGTTGCCGAGAGCGATTGGCGGTCACGGCGAGCGAGTCCGGCGGACGGAGCGCGAATCTAAAATGAAAGCGCAGATTCACAGGGAGGGGGTGGGGAGCAAGGGGAGTTTCGGATCTCTGCTCCAACCCTTTACCCTCCCCCCTCTCCCCTTTCCTCTCCCCTCCGCTCTCTCCTCTCTCCCCTCCCCTCTCTACGACACCTCTGGAGAGTCGATGAGACGAGTCTGGGCGACAAGGTGCGGCGATGATGCTTCTCCACTCCCAGCTCCGCTCTCTATTCTCGGCTCTTCCCGTCTCCCGCTCATCGGATCCCTCTCCCTGCCCAGCTCAGCCCCCTCAACGCAGCAGCTGCAGTCCCCCCCCCCCCCACCCCTCTACCACCACTTTCATAAACAGAATTCACACCACCACTCTCTCTGTCTCTGTAGCCCCTCTCTCTTCCTTCCCTCTTCCTCGGTGTATGCGCCGTCCAATCCCTCCCGAGTCGCTCTCTCCGCTTGCTCCTCGCTCTCTCCGCTTGCTCCTCGCTCTCCCTCGATGCACACTCGCGTCGTCGTCGTCATGGCAACAGCCTCACGCTCCTACAGCGGGCCCCACTCGGAGTGTGCGCTGGAGAGCGGTGGCGCAGTGCTTAGCACACTGCGCAACCCGAGCTCGATGCCCGCTCACGACCAACAACAGTGGCGAATATCTAAACCGGTCCTGTGCCTCCGCTAGGTCGACTCAGCCTCAAATGAGTACCTGGTGCGATGTGTAAACATCGTCACTAGGGAGACAAAGGCGGCCGGGCGTGGTACTGGCCACTCCACCCCCTCGTGTACCGTGCCGGTCTTTATAGGTTCTCGCTAACAGCACTTGCCCTAAATGTCTCCTGAGGCTATGAAGGGGATCTTTGTATTTGAATGAGTGTGTGCTTAAGTAAGCGGGTGAGTGTGTGTGCGTGAGTGCAGCAGTGTGCATGAGAGCGAGCGTGTGCGCGTGTGCGCGCGTGTGCGCGCGTGTCAGAGAGTTGGTGTATCTGCGCACCGAGCGGATAGATGCAGGTGGTGCATCTGCCAGTATTCTCAGTCAGTCAACCCATGACACCTGGGTTTCTCCGGTGACCTCCTGCCGTGGTTACTTCACCGCCTTAGAGCGTGAGTGTGTAACAGCGAGTGTGTAACAGCGGGTGTGTAACAGCGGGTGTGTAACAGCGGGTGTGTAGCAGCGGGTGTGTAACAGCGGGTGTGTAACAGCGAGTGTGAACGCGTGTCCGGGAGTGCGTGGAGGGAGCAGCCCCTCGCTCGTGCAGCAACAGCAGCAGGGACTGGTGTGCACTCGGGCTGGGAGGGGAGCGAGAGACAAACAGACGCCCTCCCCTTCTCATAATAAACAAAAGACAAATACTCCCACCACGTAGCCTACATAGGCTGGTGGGACAAGTGCTGTTAGGGAGTACCCATTAAGGCTATCTGACACTCTCACCACTCATATTACAGTCACCTGATTGTGCTGTACACACACACGCGTGTATCCAACGCTGTGGAGGTCACGGTTTGACTGATCACGCACCGATTTGTGAAACTCTGAAACGCGTTGGCTTGTGCAGTGGCCATGAGGTGGCAGTATCATCAGGTGGCCTCGTGAACTCATCCGTGCGGACCTTTCAGTGTCACTGCCTCGTATGCGTGGGGGAGTGGTGGGACAGTTGTTTGCACACTGTGATAACGTCACTGGAAAGAGACATCTGAACGGGTTCCTGCCCCCCCCCCCTTCCATATTTACCTCTTTGCAATGACCAGCATGGTGAAGTATAGTGAAACAACCCCCAACATAAACACCGCGTAAAAATAAATCATCCAGCAGTGTATTAATGAAGGGATATTCGTGTTAAGTATTACACCTGTTTTCGATCCACCAACCGTCGCTGCTGCCTCCACAGCGGCTGGATTCCAGACAGCCACGTGCATAGCCACCACCACCGCCCCTCGGATGTAAGTACTCTGTCATCGTTGTTCACAATTACCTTGAGTAGGTCCCGGGGAAAATCCTGCCCGCTGTCCAGTCCCTCCAGGTTCCCAATGAACTCTTGGCAGGTCATACGTTTCCCGATATTCTGCGCGCCAATCACGAGCACAACAGTGGCCAACGATTAACCAATCGGAGACATCGATTCCCCAATTATAGACGTCCGTCCCATTCATCAATACTCTTGCAGATCAACGGACCACATGTGATAATGACCGTGCTGACGATAATGTGCACGACGTGTCCTTTAATTATTTTAATTGGCTGCTAAACGGAACGTGTTCCACACGGTTAATTGAAATTAATAGTTCTGAATGGAGTGTAACTGTGAAATGATTTTTTTTCTGTCACAGATGAGTGGTGATGTATGGGGAACGGAGTTCACTATAAGGCAAGATTCTGCAATGCGTGCTGAGATCACGACTATAACTGTCATAATGATAAAGTCATATTCTTGGTTCTTTCGGTAAAGTCACGTTGAAGGGAAACAATAAAATAATAAAAGATATAAAACAATACAATTCTCACGACGTTTCGACTGCAACACAAGCAGTCATCATCAGGTGTGAAAACCAACGGCAAGAACATGTGAAAGAAGTGGCGGTTTGTATTTATTTATTTTAAACGTTAGCACAACGGATAGCGATTTGACAGTTTGTTTAGATGGACGAGTCCATCTGTGTTCGGAAAAGAGGGGGGAGACGAAAAATTAATGTATGCTATCTGAAAGCCACCATAAGCGTGAATAATCAATTAAGACCCGAAATGGTTTATCAAATCCTTCCAATGATTGCTAAGCCAGAATCCATCTTCTCGGTTGAAATTGTCTCTGTGTTTGTATATGTGGATAGCCTCATGAACGAATATCTCATGGTAGCCAGATGGCTTGCAAAGAACCTCTGTCTTGGAGAAGTCAATGTCATGTGAGCCTACTGAATTATAACAGTGATCTGCCACGGCCGAGGTGTTGGTCCTACCGTGTTTAAGGTCTGGTTTGTATTCACGAATGCGGTCCGAGACATGTCGTTTGGTTTCTCCTATGTAACTACTACCACAGAGGCAACTTAGTTTGTAGACACCAGGGTACTGTATGTCCGGAATCACATCTTTTACAAACGGAACCAGATCACGGATTTTATGTAATGTGTTGAAACGGACCTGGATCTTGTGTTTATTCAAGATTTTGGAGATCTTTTTTGTGATCCCCGCAATGTAGGGTAAAGTGATAGTTTTGAAAGGCTCCTCAAGAGGGTCCTTCTTCATGGTTTGAGTGATAGCTTTGCGGATTGTATAGTCGGAGTAACCATTAGCCTTAAGAGCTTGGTGTACGTGCTTGAGTTCACTGCCTATGTGTTCCTGGTCGGATATGTATTGGGCTCCATGGTGCAGAGTCTTGATGAGAGAATTCTTCTGTGATGGATGGTGGTGGGAATCCCGTTTCAGATAAGCATCCGTATGGGTAGCTTTTCTATAGACAGAGTGGCTCATTGAACCATCAGGTCTCTTTTTATTAGGACTTCTAAAAAAGGTAGCTTGCCATCTTTTTCGACTTCCATGGTAAATCTGATGGCTGGGTGTATGGAATTGATGTGGTCGAAGAATTGGTCTAGAGCAGGCCGGCCATGTGGCCAGATGACAAAAGTGCCATCCACATACCTCTTCCATAAGGTTGGGCGCAGAGTGGCAGTCTGGATGGCGTCACTCAAATTTCTCCATGAAAATGTTGGCTATAACCGGAGATAGGGGGGAGCCCATTGGGGTGCCCTCAGTTTGTTTGTAGAAAGTTCCATTCCAAGTGAAGTATGTATTGGTTAAGCAGTGTCTCACCAGTGGGGGTACCTCAGTGTTTAGTCCTTGATGAACCAAGTCTTCAATGATTGCGATGGTGTCCATCTAAACAAACTGTCAAATCGCTATCCGTGGTGCTAACGCAAAAAAATACAAACCGCCACTTCTTTCAAATGTTCTTGCCGTTGGTTTTCACACCTGATGATGACCGCTTGTGTTGCAGTCGAAACGTCGTGAGAATGTTATTGTTTTATATATTTTATTATTTTATTGTTTCCCTTCAACGTGACTTTACCGAAAGAACTAAGAATATGAATCACTGCAGTCACGAAAGCTTTAAATCAAAATAATAAAGTCGTTTATTTTTCGAAGAGAGCCTCGCCGAGGAACCTTGTCACGAGGGCTCTGCTGGACGGCGACGGTGATAACACTCAGAGATTCGCGCGGTCGGGTGTACAACCCACTCCGCTGTACTACCATCTCCTGACCAACTCTGATCCCGGCGAGTTTGGGAAGATTCACCGATCTGGTTACGAACCACCAACCATTGCCTCCAAAGCTCTGGACCGTTGGCTGTGCCACCACGCCCGGCTCACATTGAGGCCTGCTACGGAGCACTTCGGGAGAGCGATGGAGGCTTCGGGCCAGTGCCAGCTGACGTGCATGTCCCGCTATTTACGGCGCACGTCGAGACGCGATCGCATTTAGACGACTAATGTGAACAACAGCATGTTAGTGATGCCGCTACTGCTGCGTTCGAAGTGGTGCACAAGGACAAACAACAGCAACAAAGTTCAACATCTTCATTAATATCACCCTGTGGCCCTAAAATGAAAACGCATCTAATAACTGACGCTTTGGGCAATTAATCTTCATCATCATGTATGTGCCATGAAGAAGGACCATTTCCTGAAACGTCATGTATTATATAAAGTGTTATTGATCGGTAAACCTAACTTACATTGTGTTCATATTCATGTGACTGGCTGTATCGACTCCACACAGCAATCAGATTAATGCCTTGCGTAGTGAATGACTCACGCCACTACAATTCTGTACTTTTCGTAAGCAACTCAATTCTCAAAATGTATTACTCCATATAGTTTTATGTATCGCGTCGTCATTCATGCAAATTGCATCTCACAATCGTTGATGTAGCACTGACAAGGCTGGAAGGCAGAAGCTGTGCTTCGAGCCGGCGGCTACCAAAAATTGCCCAAGCTCTACAGTCCTCTATATATGACGATATTTTTTTGCCAATTATTGACTGTCTACATATGATCGATTTGTCTTCTGTGCTTGTAGAAGCTTTGCTGGTGCAAGTAATTGGAATATATGGCTTGTGATTCATGGTGTGAATTCAGATAATCTATAGCAGTGCGAATTGATGTGGAATTACGTCAATCAATAGGACAGTGTTATATATTTACAGAATCCTTTATTTGAGTGACTTGAGAATCCAGAGAGTTGTTAAAAACCTATCGTATAGTGCGCCAATATTATTTAGAATGTAAACACAAAGGATTTGGAGATAATATAGTCGTACACGCAGAATTGTAATAAATGAATAAGTTCATCTTCATTCCCCAGGTTTATTCGTGTTAATCGGTGTTCGTGGTCAAGAATGGTGCTGTCCGTGGTACTGAATGGCGATGTTCGTGATAATGAACCGAGTTGTCCGTGGTACTGAATGGAGCTGTCCGTAGTACTGAACAGAGCTGTCTGTGGATACTGACTGATACCGATTGGGGCTGTCCACGGCACTCAATTGAACTGCCCGTAACCATTGGCTGGAACTAACGAGAATTGTCCATGGTGCTGAACGGAGCTGTTCATGTTAACGAATGATGCTGTCCTGAAAATTGAATGGAGCTGTCTGTATGCCCTTGGTATTGAATGGAGCTGTGTGGGATATTGAATGCAGCTGTCCGGGGTACTAATTGGAGCCATCTTCATGGAATCGAATGGATATGTCCGTGGTACTGAATTGAGATGCCAATTGCAGTGAATGGAGATGTACGTGGTTCTTAATACTAAAATACCGTATCGTGATAACTGTGGTAAAGAGTGGAGCTGTCCATGGTACTCAGTGGAACTTTCTGCATGGTACAGAGTGGAGCTGTTCGTGGAACTGAAAGGAAATACCCATGGTAGTGAATGGAGATGTGGTTCTAAAATGTATTCTATGGTGCTGTCCGTGATTCTGGATGGAGCTGTCCGTGAGACTGAATAGTGCTGCATGTATGTATGTTGAACTTCTTTGGCACCGTGCGTAGCTAACCGTGATAATGAGATGTGCGGGAGGTGCTGTGTGTGTAAATGAACGCCAGGTTCGCTGTAGTACAAAACAGTGCTGCCCTGAACAGTTCTGCAGCCAATCTCTATCCCTAAAACCCAATCTCTAACCCTGCAGTATGCGTCCCATTGTTTCCACACGTGATTATGCCGCGCCCATTAATTTCGCATTCTCATTACCGCGTCCTTCCCCCGCGTCCCCACCACCCCCTCCCCCGTGAGACCCAGTATCATTTCCGATTGGCTGCAGTGGTGTTTTTAGAGCAGCATTTTTACACTCGTCCAAGACGTCCGATGCACGTGGAAGAGTAGACTAAATGCCTTATCGAGTTCACTAGCAGTCGGGTAAGCAAGCGATTGTAGATTATTTCACACCACACAGCAACACTATAATTGTAAGAGCGAGAAGCGAATCAAGAAAGGCAGGAAGACAGGGTGGTGCTGATGGATTCCGGGAAAAGCGCCAGGATGTGGGGCTAAGCTTAGTAATAGGATTAGCGGTACAAATGGGGCTATTGGTCTTATAGGCTAGTGTGGTTATGCTGAGGGTATGATTAACTGTGGATACTGGTAGCATCTGGTTGGATAATTTGGTCAGGATATCGAGCGTCTGATGGCCTACAGTGGTTAGTGATAGAGCTAGGACTAGTGTCTGATTGGCTACAGTGGTTAGTGATAGAGCTAGGGCTTGTGTCTAATTGGCTAGAGTGGTTACTGATAGAGCTATGGCTAGTGTCTGATTGGCTACAGTGGTTAGTGGTAGAGCTAGTGTCTGGTTGGCTAGAGTGGTTAGTGTTAGAGCTATGGCTAGCGTCTGATTGGCTACAGTGGTTAGTGGTAGAGCTAGGGCTAGTGTCTGATTGCCTAGAGTGGTAAGTGGTAGAACTAGGGCGAGTGTCTGATTGGCTAAAGTGGTTAGTGGTAGAGCGAGGGCTAATGTCTGATTGGCTAGAGTGGTTCAATCTTGATTTGAAGCTTTCGTGACTGCAGGAATCCATACTCTTTGGTTCGTTCGGTAGAGTCACGTAGGTATAAAATAAATATACCTACGTGACTTTACCAAAATAACCAAAGAGTGTGGCTAGAGTGGTTAGTGGTAGAGCTAGGGCTAGTGTCTAATTGGCTAGAATGGTTAGGGGTAGAGCGAGGGCTAGCATCTAATTAGCTAGAGTGGATCAAAAGAAAGCTATGGCTAGCATATGTTTGGCTAGAGTGGTTAGTGATACAGCTAGGGCTAGTGTCTGTTTGGCTAGAGTGGTTAGTGATAGAGGTAGGGCTAGTGTCTGATTGGCTAGAGTGGTTAGTGATAGAGCTAGTGCTAGTGTCTGATTGGCTAGAGTGATTAGTAATAGAGCTAGGGCTAGTGTCTGATTGGTTACAGTGGTTAGGGATATACATAGTCCTAGCCTCTCGGCGTCCTCTTGCCAGAGAGTACGGCTCACTCACCGCATCCCTCAACGAGAATCGTTCATAATTAACGCTCATAATTAATTGGATACGGCTAATTTATTAAGTTCAGTGCTGCTTGCGGCTACGGCACCGACGTTCAGAATGATAATATAATGCTGTTGGGTCGCGCACTGCAACTGAAAAATCACACAGAGACCTAAGTCCTGAGCCTCGTCATGCAATCTCACCACGATCCTACCCCTTACTCTCCGTATTCCCATAACAACATAGCTGGTCCGGAGTGCCTGTCCAGAAACAATGCCACCTAACTAACCCTGACAACAAACCTAGAACCTAACCCTGAGCCGACCCACAAACTCAACCTTGATGTTAAACATACATCTAGCCATGACCCTGACCACAGACCTAACCCTTACCAAAACCACACATCTGACTCTGATCTATAACCAAAAATGTCATGCATATCCTTTCTACATACCTGACCCTGATTCTAACCACAGACCCGACCTTGATCATAACCACAGACCTGAGCTTACTGATGGCTTTGGATTGCCCTAAGCAATGTGTACAGGTCACGAGGGGGAAGGAGGGAGGTCACTCACCGCCTGGGTGAGGGAGTAACGGGCGCGGGTGCGGTGAAGAAAGGTGAGAGAGGTGAGACAGAGAGACATGGTTAGTGCGAGGAGACATCAGCCCCACTCACGGCACACATAAGACGTGGAGGTGTGCGTGTGTCCAAGCGAAGCAATTATCATTTAGGTGTGTGTGAGTTCACATGTGTGCAATTGTTGGTGTCTGCATGTGCGTGTATGTGCTGTGTCTGCATACGTATGTATACAAGTGTGTCCACACGTTTCCATGCAAACGTGTGTATTAATGTTTTAAACGTATGAGAATATGCACAGGTGTGTGTACGTGTGTTGTGCACACACCTGTGCATGTGTTGTACACGTGTTGGGATGTTTGTACATACACCTCCATCTACACACGTGACGAAGTGGTTCGCGCACTGTGCTACAAACCCGGTGACCCGAGTTCGATCCCCGCTCACGACCAACAAACTTCAAATCTAGAATCAACAACAGTGGCTAAAATCTGAACCAGTTTTGGGCCTCCCCAAGGTCGACTCAGCCTCACAAGAGTACCTGGTACGATGTGTAAACATCGCCACTCGGGATGCCAAAGGCGTCCGGGCGTGGTTCTGGCCACATACCCACTGTGTGTGTGTGTACACCTGTATACGTACTCGTCCGTGCAGGTCCGTGTTGAGCAGCATGAGGGCACACGTGAGCGTGTGTACACCGTCTGTCGAGACAGCAAGTTCATCATTAGCCATGGTTAATCCACTGCTAGATGACGTTCTTCCCAAGCCACCGCCAATTTGTTTTCGCGCGATGAAGAAATCCGACCAGACTCCAAAACGGCGGCAGCACGACCCGAATGGTAACAAACAACTCGGTGGTGATGCTGCTGCTGCGTTGGCAGTGGTGCACAAGCACTGTCAACAACAACAACTCAAGACGTTCATCAATAACAATACAGGAGGTGTTAAGGATGTTGATGTTTGCATTGCCTTTGTGATGTTCGCCTTTTGGTGTCCTCTGCTCTAATACTGGTGGTGAGACAAGCCCATTAAGGAGGCTCTCTCTGGTGTAAGCCAATCAGTTCCAAAGACAATGTGTACATTTTTATCAAAGTATGTTTGTTTGCATGTCTCACCACAAGCATGTGTAGTTTATATTGACTTGGTGATGCCTTGTGATGGTTGTAGATTATGTTTTCATCATTTTGGTACGGGCAAAAAATCTCCCATAGCTAAAACTGTGTGTGGCCTTAACAGGAACATATAATAGGCGACGTTTCGGGCAAGGATCCTTCTTCATTGGACATATGTTATGCAGAAGGCACATTGCTCTGGTATATATATGGTTATTTTTAAAGCCACAGTGTTATTGACGAATGCGTTGGTGCTTTTCCTTCACACTAACGTGCGTACTTTTCATGCAGACGCACGTTTTAATACAGCACTGCAGTGACGTCACCAGAACCCAACAGGAGCAATCTGAACGATAAGGTTCAGTGACTTTATTTCTGCTAAATAAAGCTTCCGACAGGAATGCACAGCCCAGGGATGTCGCTACAGGATAACAGCTGCTTGGGAGTGTTTTATTTTTTCAGAGGGGAGGGGGGGGGGAAAGTTGCGGCGTCACTGAATGAGTAATAGGTGCTCGCTAACATCGTGGCTGCCCGGCCGTGGAGGGGGGGAGGTCGCGTACCCTCGGATGGCACCGTGGTTGGGTGGCACGCGTGGTAGCGCCGAGAGAAATGCGCCAGGATGCGCTCCCTCTCCTGCGTCTCCCCCATCAGCGCGAACGCCTTGAGGAAGCGCCTAGGGAGAGAGGGAGGGAGGGAGGGAGCGGTGGAGTGAAAGACGAGGGGAGGAGGGGGGGGAAGGAGGAGACGAAGGAGAAAGGAGATAGTGACGGACGGAGGGAGGAAAGAGGGGGGCGGGCGAGATAGGGAACGAGGGAGGGGAGAATGCGTGGGGGGAGAGAGCACGGGGAGGGGTGTGGGGGATGGAAGAAGCGAGCCGCGAGGGAGCAGGGGAGTTAGAGGGAGAGAAGAACAGCAAGGGAGGAGGAGCGAGAAGGAAGCAGTACCCTCCTGAAAAATAGTTTTTATACTCAGCAAAAGTTTCCCAACAAAATAGCAATATTGTTATTGTGCCTAATGCACTCACCTCAGCGCTTGGTCCAGAGTGAGTCCCGTGAAGTCAAAGAACCGCAAATACTCCTCGGCCACGAGACGAGACGACTCGTTACTGAGGGGCACGCGCGCACCGAGACACGAGTACTCTCTGAAGAGCGAAACTCAGAATCCACAATCGCATCGGGTTCAACCCTCACATCGGGACCAACCCTCGCAAGAGAACGGTGACTGGAGGGTTGAGCCCCCTGCCGCCCCACTCACTTCTTGCCCAGGTGTTTGGCGACGTCGGAGCGCCGCACTCCTTCCAGGTGGAAGAGTTTGGCTGCGAGGCGCCGTGCGGCCTGGGTCGGCGACCCGCGCGAGCCCTCAGGGTCCTGAGGGCCCCCCGGGCCCCCCTCGCCCCCCCCATCGCCGTTCGCCAGCGTCCCCGGGCCCTCCAGCTCGGCCGCGCCGCCGCCTCCCTCGACACGCTCCAGGATCGCGTGGAGGTCGCGCAGCTTGCCAGGACTACGGGGGGCGAGTGAAGTGTGCGTGGGTTAAGCGTGGATGGGTGTGGATGGGTGTGTGCGGGTGTGTGTGCGTACGCATGTGTGGAGCGGTGGTATAGTGGTTAGCGCACTGCGCTGAGAACCAGCGACCCGAGTCCGATTGCAGCTCACGGCCAACATCGGTGACTTCCCCCTAGGGCGACTCAGCCATAAATGAGTACCCGCTTGCGGTGTGTAAACATCAGCATTGTGAGGAGACAAAGACGGTCGGGCATGGTCCTGGCCACCTACCCTCTCTCGCGTGTTGTAACGACCTGCGTAGTTCTTGCTGCTCACATTACTTGCCTCAACGGTGTGTTCAAGGCGATATGGGATGGGGATCCTTGTCTTTGATTGGGTGATGTGTGTGGGGGTGTGCATATGTGAGTGTGTGAGGATGCGTGGGCGTTTGTCTACATTTGTTCACATATGTATACGAGTGTGTGTGGGGGTGTGGGAATATGCGTGTGTGGGTGAGTGGGAGGGTGTCTGTGTGTGCGCGTTTGGTCGTGTGTGCGTGTGCATCAAAGTGTGTGCGCGTGTGCATGTGGGTGGTCCACAAGTAATCGTTTGCAGACGACGACTATGATTATAATGATGGTAATAATGATGATATATCAAGTACGACGTTGACGATAATAAAGAGAATGATGATGATGGTAAGGATGATGATGCACGGCAGCTGGCGTGGTGTGGAGCGTGGGAGGCGTTGTTGAGAGATCAGAGCGAGTGATGATGAAGCGCCGCTCCCCGCTGGCGGGCGTCTCTCTTCTCCCCCCCCGCGGGGTTTGGAGTCAGAAGACAGAGGCCGGACAAACGAGAAAGCGCGGCAGGCGGTGATGCGACGGCGTTCCCGTCGCTTGTGAGCTACATCCCTTCATCAAGCACGAAATACACTGCGGGAAGAAAGCATTCCCATGTGCCATGAATAAGGGCCATTTCCCGAAACGTCGCCTATTGTGTTTCCTTTAAAGGCCACAGTATCGCCTTAAACAACTGTTTTGAATGTTTGTGTGTTTCTCGAGGATAATTGTGTTGACCATACTTGACGATGCTGGACAGTACAGTTGCAGGTTTTGGAAGCGAACTCATGTCGCCGGGTTCACCACGCAGTGCTCTCTCACCACAGCTGCTGTGGGTCACCGCTCGAGCGCATAGACACAAATCATCGACCCTAACTCACCCGCTCGTGGACGGCTCTAGCCCCCTACGCCAGACAACGCAGCAGCAGCATTTGTTTAACAGGCCGGACTCTGCTGGCAAAGCCGGTCCAGGGTTTGGCTTGCTTAAACAAATGCTGTTAGAAAACATTTGTCTCAAAGGCCGAATGGCTGATGGACTCAGAGCCGACCCCAGGTCACAGCGCAGTGATTAGCGCAATGTGCTGGGAACCTCGTGACCCGGGATCTGTTATACGCCACGACTAACATCAGTGGCGAGCGATATCTGAACCATCTCTGGGTACCTCCTTCACACTGAGCTGCACTGAGGAGCGCGGTGAAGTTCGCCAAACACCAACCGCCCCGGGATCGGCACGGCGTGGGAAGGCCTTCATCCAGTGCTGGGTCGATAACGAGATTATTTTGTGACGTTGCTGCTGCTGCTGCTGCTGCGTTGGGCAGTGGTGCACAAATAAAAACACACTCAAGACATCCTCAAAGAACACCTTGGCCTTAACAAGATAAGAATACAACAGGCGACGTGTTAGGCAATGGCCCTTTAGGATTGCACATTAAACTCGACCTCTGTGGCCTCTCTATGCGCTGTGAAGAATGGTCATTGCCCGAAACGTCGCCGATTATATACTTGTTATTTTTAAGGCCACAGTGCGAGTGACGAAAATGTGTTGAGTGATTTTGTTATTTGGATTGATGGAGGGCTGCCCACTTGTTTCTGTGTTTAAATTTAGAACATTCGTCGCGAGGCGTGGCTACTGCAGCGTCCCCCTGAAGGCTTTGTGGGATTCCAGGAAGCAACCCAAACTCGATTTCCAAAGACAAAACTCCCCCGTATAGCCTAAAGCGATTGTCGAGGCAAGTGCTGAAAATGAAGACGTATCCATTAAGGCCGGAACAATGCTACCACGTCGTGTAAGCCTTGCAGCACGCCCGGGCTCCTTTGTCTCACCGTGAGTCCTGGCGTTTACACACCGCATCTGCTGCTGATTGTAAGGCTGAGTCGACATAGAGGGGTCGGGGAGCGGGATAAGTTAAAATACCACTTGCCATTGTGATGTTAATCTTGGCTGTAATCGAACTGAAGTCACTTGATTTGTAATGCAGTGAGCTAACCCAATGTACCACCGCCCCCAATTCAAACACGCCACACAGATACACAAGGACAAAGATCTCCCGTATAGCCTAAACATACTCTTGGGGCAAGTGCTGTTAGCGAGTAGAACCTGTGAAGGCCGGCATGGTACACGAGGGGGTGGGTGCCTAGCACCACGCCCGACCGCCTTTGTCTCCCCAGTGGCGATGTTTACACACCGCACCAGGTACTCATTTGAGGCTGAGTCAACCTAGGGGAGGGCCCAGGACCGGTTCAGATAAACGTCACTGGTTTTGGCCTTGAGCGGGAATCGAATTCGGGTCGCCAGGTTCGTAGCGCAGCGCACTAACAATTTCGCTATCCCTCCCCGTAGGTAGATACACAGACACATACTTGCACGAATGCCCCACACAGAGATACACACAGATACGCACACACATACACACACACGCACACATGCACACATGTAAAATAGCGACATAGACAAGGGAAAGTGCATAAACAAACCCGTACCACCACCACAACAACAACACAGACGACTCAACCCATCGACTCTCGCTCTCACGCACACTCGACGCGCGCATGGCGCGCTTAAACATTCGGTGTCAATCAACCCACCGAACGAATCTACCAATCGTCCCCTGCCCCCCCCCGATCGCACCCACAGCACCTGCAGGGCGTGCTCCCGGCCCCACGCTTAGCCACTCCTCGGGCCCCCCCCTCCGCTCCTCCGTCGCCGTACGACCCGTTACACGCGGCCGCCCCGGCATCGCCGCTCGCCGCCGCCGCCGCTGCAGAGGCCCCCGTCCGCGAGCCGTGGCCGCTCGTAGCCGGCGGCCCGGGGGGCGCCCAAGCCGCGCCCCCTGCGGGACCCGCGCGGGGGAAGCCCGCGGCGCGGCGCGTGGATGGCGGCGACGCGAAGCTGTCGAGGGAGCTGAGGCTGAGGCACGAGGCGGCGCGGTTCCGCTGCGCCTCCACGATCTCCTCGAAGTCGCGGCTGAAGGCGTCCTGCAGCGAGGCGAGGCTTGCGCGGCCCGGGGACGCGACAGCAGCGAACGCCGCCGCCGTAGGGCGGGCGGCCTCGCCACGCGGGGGCAGCCTGGTTGTCGCGTCGACCAGGGTGGGGGGGGGGGGGGGCAGGGAGGGTTACGCAGGTGAGAGGGCGGCAGCGTCAACCGAAACGTCGCTGTTGGAAACTGCCACTGGACGTCCTCGTCAGAATCTGAGGTCTTTTTGAAGATGCCCCCTCCCTCCTGAGCACCCCCCTCGGCTCTGAAGCCCGGGGAACCCTGCCCCACCTTGCCAGCCCCCCAATCCCTGGAAGGTGAAGAGGGGTCCCGAGACAGTAACACGTGCTGACCTCAAGATCCTGTCACGTGATTTCGCGTTGATCGATCGGGTAAACGGCAGCTGGGTGACATTTAAACGGCTCAACTCTTATTGAAGCAACTTTACAAAAAACTCTGCCAATATAACCAGTCAGGGTTGTTCTCCTCACACACACGGTGATGCACTGTTCGCTCCAAGGATCGCCTTCACGGGAATGTGCTCCTATCGTGACATGAATGCTACATCACAATTGGAAACCAATGAGGAGCGGAGAGTGAAATAGTAAATAAATCTTCGGTCTGTGGTGGCGGCGGCTACGCCGCTGCACGTCGCTGTTCGTAACCCAGCACTGTGGAGGCAGCAGCAGCAGCGAGGGTTAGTGGATCACACACAGATGTCGTGAAACTCCCTTCTCTGATTCGCACGGTTGGCTACGCACGTTGTAAAAGAAGTACAACATGCATACACATGGTGCAGCAAGTGGACTGATCGCCATCTGTTTCCATCTTTGCGAGGATAAAGCGTTGCCCCTGCGCGCAATGCGTGGTGCTCCAGTGTCCTCCCCACGTATATAAAATAAACTCATCAGTCATTGTCTGAAAACATCTTACAAATATGAACCCTGCCACTCAGCGTGGCTCTCCTGGATATAGAGGTAATTATTATTATTATTAATACTCCGATTATATATACGATTTCCTCTCCCTCACCTGATGTTTGAGTTTCTCAGGAATGCAGGTTCAAAAACAAACATTTATCGAATGCTCAAGGAGTATGGCTGAAGCCCTTGCTACGTACCCCTGTCCACGCTACGTCACCCTGTCCACGCTACGTCTCCCTGTCCACACTACGTCTCCCTGTCCACACTACGTCTCCCTGTCCACACTACGTCTCCCTGTCCACGCTACGTCTCCCTGTCCACACTACGTCACCCTGTCCACGCTACCTATCCATGTCCACGCTACGTCTCCCTGTCCACGCTACGTCTCCCTGTCCACGCTACGTCTCCCTGTCCACGCTACGTCTCCCTGTCCACGCTACGTCCCCCTGTCCACGCTACGTCTCCCTGTCCACGCTTCGTCCCCCTGTCCACGCTACGTCTCCCTGTCCAGGCTACGTCTCCCTGTCCACGCTACGTCTCCCTGTCCACACTACGTCCCCCTGTCCACGCTACGTCTCCCTGTCCACACTACGTCTCCCTGTCCACGCTACGTCTCCCTGTCCACACTACGTCTCCCTGTCCACACTACGTCTCCCTGTCCACACTACGTCTCCCTGTCCACGCTACGTCTCCCTGTCCACACTACGTCCCCCTGTCCACGCTACGTCACCCTGTCCATGCTATGTACCCCTGTCCACGCTTCGTACCCCTGTCCACGCTACGTCACCCTGTCCATGCTATGTACCCCTGTCCACACTACGTCTCCCTGTCCACGCTACGTCCCCCTGTCCACGCTACGTCTCCCTGTCCAGGCTACGTCACCCTGTCCAGGCTACGTCCCCCTGTTCACGCTACGTCTCCCTGTCCACGCTTCGTCCCCCTGTCCACGCTTCGTACCCCTGTCCACGCTACGTCTCCCTGTCCACGCTACGTCTCCCTGTCCACGCTACGTACCCCTGTCCACGCTACGTACCCCTGTCCACGCTACGTCACCCTGTCCACGCTACGTACCCCTGTCCACGCTACGTCACCCTGTCCACGCTATGTACCCCTGTCCACGCTACATACCCCGGTCCTCCGCCGTTAAAGAGTGCTTGCTCCACGAACGAATCATCATCATCGTCGTCGTCGTCTTCATCCTCGTCGCCAGCGCCGCTCCGCCCCATCCGCGCTCTCGTCACCTCACTCCGTGCCTTCCTCTGGGCCCCGGTGGCGGCGGTGGCGGCAGGGAAAGTTTTGCTCGGTTTTATTTTCTCCGGGTTTCTCGCCGGGTTCCCGACTCCGTTGCTGGGGATTCTGGATCCTGCCGCTGCTGCCAGGGCTGTGTGGTTTCCACCATCGTCGTCGTCGTCACTGCTGCTGCTGCTGCCGCCGCTGCTGCTGCTACCGCTGCTGTTGCGGTTGTTGTTGCTGCGGTTGGCTCTGGCTCCTCCTCCGTCCATCACCCGCGCTGTCGCCATGGCAACGTCACCATGACGACCCGGAGGAGAGGCTGAGGAATGCGACAACGAATTTGCGTCGTTCGAGAGAGAGGAGAGGTCGAGAGGATGGAGAAAGCTCCGTGTTTGCAGTGGTAAGGCTGGGTTAGACTCAGAGGTCAGAGGTCATAGGCAGCTGATCAACTGTGATTGAGCCCAGTTCTCAAGTGTAGCGAGTTCATAGTCTTGGCCAGGTCACCAATGATTATGATAGAGACCCTTAGACTTACTTATAGACATCGACATATACATTGAAACACATACAACAGATAAACCGTGGACTGACATGGAAACCCATAGACTTACGTAAACACGCATAGACACACATAGGCTGGGTTGTGATGAAACCGAGTGGTCACTGATGACGGTACACGAAACGAATCAAGATTAGTTAGGTTGTTTTTACCTTAATTTTGCTTCATTCAATTCAAATGCCGTGCCATGGCCATGTCTCTGTGGTGCAAAGGGGGCCCTCTATTGGTTAAAATCAGTCACGGAGCAGAACCTGCCGTGGAGGGGAATGGATCTATTGAGGTTAAAACAGGAAATGAGAGTGCAAGTCAAAGTGAACTGCAAAACAGAGAACCTCGTCTCTTATAGAGGCCTCATCCCCTCCTCCGGACCCTGCCCCGCACGCCCGTAATCTCGCGCTGGCGGAAAATTCAGGAAGGCGCCATACCCTGGCTCGCCAGGTTATGACGGTACAGCAACGTGCGGACTCCATCTGTCCCTTCTGCACGGGGTTAGAGTCTCGCCCCTCTCACACACGTGGCTGTTGCTCCGGGTGCTCCGGTTTTCTCCCACATGTATGAACACTCACTAATTGTCTGGTAAAATCGTAATATATAGAGGGCCGCAGAACTTGGGAAATTGTGGGTAGCGCCAGCTCGCCTGGTTGCAAACTTTCAGCTTTGTCTGTGCTTCCTCGGCGATTGTGAGATGCAATTTGCATGAACGATGCTCACGCTGCACGGTAAATAACGGGAAACATCATTGCAAACGGCCAAACCTCGCTGCGACACACTCCCAACAATGGCAGCATTGTTTACATTGTGCAGATTAAAAATAATAGGCACTCACTTGCCTGCAGAATCAAAATACGAAGCGTAACGCACAGCTCTTCTAGACGCGTGCATTTCCGGGTTGCACCGCGTTTTGTTCGTCAAGTTGTCCGACGTTTCGGTCCACGGTGCTGATGGAGCTTATCGGGGAAACTCACTCAGGTCCCGACACGTTGAGTGAAACGTCGGAGATCGTGTCGAACAACGGACGCGTGGTTTAATCCAATCTAATTGTATATTTATATAGAGTGCTTTCTTCACTCAAGGCGCACGACATGGCTTACTAAACGATGACAGAATGGAATGATGTAGATGGCAGGCGCGTGCTACAAGGATTAAGGAACGAGTGACAGAGATAGCGGTGTAATTAGGGATCACGAAAGGGCTATAGGGGAAGGACGATTAGGAGTGGAGGGGCGAGGGGAGTGAAGAGGGAGAGAATGGGCAGTGGAGAAGAGGCGAGGCTTTGAGAGAGGGACGGGAGGAGGTGAAGGAGGGGGATGATTCATGTACAGGGGCTAAACAGCAGCAGCAGCGCGACGGTGAATATTAACACATCTTCTTTGGTTCTTTCGGTAAAGTCACGTAGAATGAGAATAAAATAATAAATTGATAAAATAAAATAACACAATAATATTCTCACGACGTTTCGGCCACAACACAAGCGGCCTGTCACCAGACAGTCTCGCTCCCTTCACCTGATGAAGGCCGCTTGTGTTGTGGCCGAAACGTCGTGAGAATATTATTGTGTTATTTTATTTTATCAATTTATTATTTTATTCTCATTCTACGTGACTTTACCGAAAGAACCAAAGAAGATGAATCATTGCAGTCACGAAAGCTTTAAATCGAAATACCAACACAGTCAAAATGTCACGGCGCTTTCCATTGAGCCCTCCGGAGTTCTGGGCCCTGGGTATGTGTCCCGGATGCACCCCGAGCCTGACCCATCCCTGCCCTGCCCCACGCTGCCCTGCCTGGCCGTGCGCCCCGTACCGTGCGTCTCCGGCTGGGAGCTGCCGAAGAAGAAGTCGTGTCTGGCCTGGGCGAGTCGCGACGCGCGGGGAGACGGATCGGAGTGCGGCGGCGAGAATCGCTCCGTCTGCTGCACGGGGGGGGGGGGAGGAAGAGGTGCGGGTAGGTGGGAGGTTGCAGAATTAGAATGTCCGGCTTTATTGGACTTAGTGGTTAGCGCGTTGCACAATCAACCCCCCCACACCCCCAGGCATCTGAGTTCGATTTCCGATGTGGGATATGTATAATGTGTCGGGTTGTGTTCACGCGTGTGTCTGTGTATTTGTGTGTGAGGAGCGGTCGTCGAGCGGTTAGCACTGCACTACGACCCGTCGACCCGAGTTCAATTCCAGCTCACGACCAATGACAGTAGCGATTATTTGAACCGCCCCTGCCTTCATGGGCGCTCGCGTAGAGCCTCAACAGCCTGTTAAGGCTGTACAGAGCATCTTTGTCGTTGTGTGCACAGTGGGGAGCGGTGGTGTCGCGTGTGGAAGTTTGGTCTCCCCTGCCCCCCACGGGCCACACAGCACGAGGAGGCCTTCAGCCGGTAGTAGATTGGCACGGGACTGTAAATTACCGTGATTATAATTCTCTATCTCTCTCTATCTCTCTGTCAAACCATCAATATTCGTCTAATTGCTCAATGCTCGACTCCCCCCCTCCCTCCTCTCCGCCCCCCACAGTCCCAGGCCCGCTGTGTCGCTAACGCCTCGTCATTATTTCCGCCCACGAGAGAGATAATTGCCCCCCCCCACCTCCCCAATGTTTATGGAACGGCTCGGGTTGCCTCGAGTCGAGGAACGGGTTTAACCGCGATGTGCGCGTGAAACTTGATAAGCTGACGGTGTCGATGAATCTACAGGTGTGGGCGTCTCTGCCCCCCCTCCCTCCCTGCCTCCTTCGCAATGAATCGCAGCGACCGCCCACCTGCTCTCCCACTTGACCCGCGCGTTGCCCTCCCCGCCCCCCAAGTCAGATCTTTGGGGTGGCCTGGGAGGTATTAAAGGTCAAGAGGTCATTCATAAGAGCATACGCAACATTACAAGCGAGAGATGTAGGCCCATTTGGTCCATCTGGCTCGTCCCCTGGTTAGATTCTGGAATCGCTCACGCAGGCGCTCCTTGAAGAACCCCGACGAAGCAGTTTCCATGAATCACGTGCGTGGGGCTCCCACCATGCCTCCCAGCCGGCCTCGGCCCTCGCGTCTCATCACGGACAATGCCGTTCATGCCACCACTCGCTCAGTCACTCACTCCTCGCCATCGCTTCCTTCTTGGTGACCTTTACAGCAACGTGTGTGCAGTCGAGGCCTGTCGCATCCGTGGATCTGCTCTTCCTAGAGCCCCATGCTACCAATAGATGTAGCTACGATACACGTGTAGTTGATAACAAGGAGTTGACAGCAAGTAGTTGATCCAAAGTAGTTGACAGAAAATAGTTGATAGCAAGTTAGCCACATTGGCTTCTGTGGCGGTGTCGTTCCTATAGCTCAGGGCTATCGAGAAGGAAGGTGCTGCTGTGCCACACAGACACGTCTTCTGCAGTAGTTCCACAGGACATGGCGATGTTGCTCCGTGTGTAATCATCCCAAATGAGCGATTTGCTTTGCAATTTTTTCGAATTTGGCAAATGTGGCCCACGGTGCCGGCACGCAATGGCCGACTAACTTCGAATGACGTCGGGGGATCTGTAACGGAGCGAAGCACGCGGCGCGTGGCGCTACTTATTCAGACACCCCCAGTAATACTTACTCTTTGGGTCAAAGAAAATAACAAAAATTACGACGTTTCCTGCTGACGACCGCTTGTGTTGCGATCGAAACGTCGTAGTTTTTGTTATTTTCTTTGAACCTATCTACATGACTTTACCGAAAGACCCAAAGAATATGAATTCCTGCAGTCACGAAAGCTTTAAGTCAAGGTTTACCCTCAGTAATAACCAGGGCGGCATTTTGGATTCGAACCGCGAGCCTCTGCGACAAGCGGGGAATGCTTGTTCAGGGCCACCGCCCACAGGTTCAGGAGCCAATTTATAAAACATATTCCGTGTTTTATAAAACATATTCCGTGTGTCTTTGTCGACTGTCCGTACAAGTTCTGACACGGCGCACGAGGTGGTTGTGTGACCAACACCACATCCTGCCGCCTTGGCCTCCCCATGCTGATGTTAACACACCGCACTCCACACTCATTTTAAGGTTGAGTCGACCAAGAGCAGGCGGTTCAGGACCGGTTCAGATGTCACGTGCTATTGATGGTAATATAACTCATGTGGCCGGGTTAGTACACTAGCTCTGTGCGCTAACCACTGTCCCACCTGCTCATATACACACATGCATAGGATACAAAACAAAGATCCCCTTTTTAGCCTCGAACAGACTGTTGGGGCAAGTGCTGCTAGCGAGCGCCTATGAAGGCCGGCACGGCACACGAGGTGGATGGCCAACGCCACGCCCAGCCGCCTTTCTCTCTCCAGTGCTGATGTTTACACGCTGCACTAGGTACTCATTTAAGGCTGAGTCGACCTAGGCTAGGGGGTGAGGCTCAAGACCGGTTCAAATATTCGCCACGGTTATTGATCGTCAGTAGGAATCGAACTCTGGTCACTGTGTTCGTAGCGCAGGGCGCTAATCATTACACCACCGCTCTCCATGACACACGTATGTATACACAAACACACACAACCCGCACCCACCAGAGTGGTGAAGTATGGTCAAACTACTCTTACGATTGACATGGTGCGTAGGACGGCCTTAATCCAGGCAGCAGCGGATTGACAACGGAGCTGTACATTATTTTACGTCATTCTGATTGCCCATTAATGATACAACACACACACACGTACACAATATCCCACGAATCCTATTCTTTCTCGAGAGAACCAGAAATGTAAGTTCTGCTCGCGTCTCAAAAATACAAATACACGCTGGCGTACATACACACACACGGGCACCTTACACAAATTACATTTCACAATTATACATTTACATAAACATGTGAACACACACGCTCACGACCAATAAAAGTGGCCAATATCTGAATCAGTCCTGGGCCTCCCTTAGGTCGACTCAGCCTCAAATGAGTGCCTGGTGCGATGTGTAAACATCGCCACTCGAGAGACAAAGGCGGCCGGAGGTGGTGCTGGCCACCGACTCCGTCTCGTCCTTAACGAGTGCTCGTCACGAGTATTATCCCAGTCTGTTAAGGCTGCAGATAATTAATGTGTATTTGTGTTTGTATCTGTGTCTATGGTGTGTGTCGATAGTGTCGGTGTCCGTGTGTCTGTGTACGTGTGCATATATCTGTGTCTATGTGTGTGTGTCGTCCGTCCTGCTTACCTGGCTCCAGACGACAACAACAACAACAAGACCCCAGTTGGACTGCAGGTGCGGCAGCAGGGGTAACCCACAAACAGGCGAACGAAGTGCGTGGGTGAGAGGTCAGGCGAGAGACACTGCCCGCCCAACAGAGACGGCTCGACCGCTTCTACCTCGTCTCCTTTCAACCCTCGCCTCCTCCTGCTCCCCCTCCACATCCTCACGTCGCCATCGCCACCCCAACCCCCACCCCGATGGCAGCGGCAGCCTCCCTCTCACAACCCGGATCCTGCAGACTCTTGTCCTCTTGTCGTCCGCGTGTCTCCCTCCCTCCCTCTCTACCCACACGCGCAGGACACCCCTGCCCCTCTCCTTTCTTCCCAGAGATCCCCTGGGTCCCTGTATCCCCGAGCCAATACCTCCCCCACCCCCCGTATTTCCCACTCAAGTGATCCCTCTGTCTCTGCGTCCCCATGTTCCCCTTCCGGTGACCCCTATAGCTCCGTGCCCACCCCCCAACCCAATTCTGTGGTCCCGTGTTCCCTTGCCGTGTGAAGTTGTGAGGTGGTGGAGAGCGACGCGCTGTAGCGTCTGTGTTTGTCTCGCGTACGCATACCTACAGGACGCATGCGATAGACCACGTACGTACGCACATACACGAGTTCTCGACCTGATATATACGTACACAGGACACGTAAACATGCATACACGCACTCACATACCGAGTTGCATGATTAATACACGCTACGAAAATCACAGGCATGTACATTCATAAAATATATAAAGACCCCGCGTGTCGGCTTCAATAGAATTGAGGGAATTGAGACGAAATTTTAGTTGCACCAGGAAGTATACCCAGTTGAGGCTGAGTCGACCTAGCGGGGGCTCGGGGACCGGTTCATATATTCGCCGCCGTTATCCGTGGCCGAAGATTCGGGCTCAAGAGGCCCGGGCTCGTGAGGTCATCCGCTAGTCACGACGAACGCTTCCAACAGCGTACAAAGACAAGACAAAGATCCCCCGTATAGCCCTAACAGACTTTTGGGGCAAGCGCTGTTCGCGAGCATCTATAGCAACATGGGTAAACATGTACACACGCACTTCCTGACAATTATACAAACAAAATTTTTTATGTCAACATAGCGCTCCACACAGTACGTCGAAAACAAACAATCGTGACCAATGTAACCTCAAATGATGATCTTGACATTTCAAGTTGAGTCGATTTCGGGGAGGCCCAGGAATGGTTCGGAAATTCGTCACTGGCATTAGCCGTGAGCAGGAATCGAACTTGGGTGTGCCGGGTTCCTAGTGCAGTGTGCCTGCTCAGTGCATAACCCATGCATTACGTTCGTAAATACTGAACATGCAACGACAACGACCCCCCGTATCGTCTTAACACACTGTAGGGGCAAGTGCTGTTTGCTAGCACCTATGAAGACCGAAACGACAAATGAGGAGTGGGTTGCCAGCACCACGCCCGGCCGCCTTTGGCGATGTTTACTACATACTGCACCAGCTACTCATTTGAGGCTGAGTCGATCTGGGGGAGGCCGATGGCCGGTTCAGATAATCGTCACTGGTGCTGGCCGTGACCGGGAACCGAACGCTAACCGCTGCGCCCACCACTCCCCACACGATGTATGCAAATATAAGTACCCACTCAGTCACGCACAGACAGCTCTTATTTGCAAGAGGGACGTGGGTCACAAATATGACAAAAGCTAAACAAATGAAGTACGGGAGTTGAAGCAACGAGCAATCAGGGCAAAAAAACACGTGCGTCACATGAGAATTTGAAAGCACTGCACAAAGTTTCACATCACGAGACGGAGAGTGAATTCGCTTCTCTGGCAGACCAGTGAAAGCCCTTCGAGTTAGGGAACGGCCCACTGAAGCGGCTCACAGAGAGCGACCTCTGTGGCCACACAGTATCGGGCAGCACTCCCACATCGACCACCCCGCGACAAAGAGCAATCCTCATCCCACCGCTGTCACATTTACTGCATTCGTGCTTTGAGCTGACATTTGGAAAATTAAGTGCAGAACCAAATTAATGCAATGAATTTTGTTTTGTGTGTGCAGTCGCAGATGACCGGTCAACATGCTGCGCTCGGGGGCCTATGCTAACCACGCTGTCGTGTGCCGTCATTAAAACCCACTCAGCACTCACCTTTCAATATTCACAATAGACACCACATCTCTGGACTCATGGCTAAAATGCCATTGCCGTTTGTTCAGCGCCCTTACGATGGCTTGCCACGTTACGGCGCTATACACATAGTCGTTATCATTATCATCGGTGACTTCGGCTAAACACTCCTCCGTTAAAGCATCTGTACACCAACACCTCTGTTCCACTTTCCCTGACGGGACATGTCCCCTGACACCGGCGCAGTACCGGTGAGCAGGCGGCACACGCAGCCGAGTTCGTCACGTGGTCGGGAACAATTGCGACTCGAGTGGAGAGCGCTGTCCCTGGTACCGCATCCGGACGTCTTGTTTTCTATTCCTGTATACATTTGATCGAACTAGAAACCAAATCTTAAAGAGAGGGGGGTGGTGGGGACGTGGGGGGGGGGGTGCTATGACCAGAGCCTAACCCTCGCATTATGAACCCAAGCTGTTACCTTATCCCGATCCATAACAACACCTCAAGCGCTATCTCCGAACCCGTTACCCCTATACCAAAGCAACGGGGTCTTGCCGATCACCATTGCCCTTACCGTGGCCGAGTCCGACCGTGCCGGGCTGCCCAGGACGCTGCTGTCAGGTCCCCTGACACCCGGGGTCCCGCGCTCCTCCCTCTCCCCCTCCTCCTGCTCCGCTCCGCTCCCCGCGCGCAGCGACGCGGGCCGGGGCAGGCGCGAGACTCGCGCCGTGAAGGAGGCGAGGCGCTCCTCCCCGCGGACCCCCCACGGCCCCCCGCGTCCCTCGGGACTCGCAGGGGGAGGGGGCGACCCCAGGGAGACGACGGAAACTGCGGCGGAGTCCGGGGAGGAGATGGCCGAGCCCCTGGGCCCTCCGAGAGGGGTGAAGACGGCGCGGCTCCGCTCCACGTAGCTGATGCTCACGACAGAGCAGGAGGACGTGGCGCTGGTGCCGGCGCGCTCCCGGTGTAAGGACTTCGTGGTGATGGTGGCGGTGGTTGTTGTGCTGCTGCTGCTGCTGCGTGCGTCTCGCAACCGCCTGCCGCGACCCGACGGCGGCCACAACCCGGACCCCGAAGCGGCGGGATCGGCGGGGAGACGTAGGGGGCCCGGGGAGGATGAGCAGGAAGATACCACGCGCTCCGCGGAGGGTCGCGGAGTCACCCCGCTGCGCTCTCCTCCTCCTGCTGCTGCTCCTCCTCCTGCTGCTGCTGCTCCTCCTGCTGCTGCTCCTCCTGCTGCTGCTGCTCCCGCCGTCGCCTCCGCCGCCGCAGCGAAGGCGCTGCAGAGCTCCTCGAAGCGAGCGCGGTAGAAGGAGGAGGAAGCGGCGGAACCCCCCGAGAGGGGGGACGCGCCACCGCTGGGGCTACGTGGGGAGCGCGGGGAGCTCGGCGAGGCGGCGGGGCCCCCCTCGAGAGGCAACGGGGAGTCGCTCATGGTCGCCCCCGTGCGGTCGCTTCCAACTTCAGGGCGAGCACGATGGGTCACGTCGCGTCATCCCGATTCCCATGCGACTCCAACGCTCAATTGGCGGCGGCGCTGCTTCAATCAGACGAGAAATCAATGAGCTACACGGCGAAGGCAGTGTTAGACGAACGTGTAGAGATGTACATAGCAGCGGCGTAGCGTGGTGGGCTTGGACCCTATTCCTGAGAATGCCATGGGCTCACCACCGGTCCAATCTCTACTCCCCCTTCCCTCCCCCGGCCCCCACCTCTTCGTAGCCCGCGGCCTGGACCCCTCCGGCCCAGGTGCAATTGCACCGCCCGCCTACACATTCGATATCCCAAAGGCCACTAACTAATACCCCCCTCCCCATAGCCCCTGCCCGATGAGCCCATGAGCTAAGCAAGGCGCACTATGCAGAGCTGGGCAGGTTCCAGTTTATTCGTGTGGCCAATGAATGATGAGATAACCACGTGAAACGAGTGGGGGTGCCAAGTAATTGACTCCGATGAGCGGTAGACACGATTGTGTACAACTAAAGGTTTACTACCATAGGTGGCACAGACTTCTGGCCTGGCCCATGAACTGAACGGGGGCGAGGAGGGGGCTCAGGAGGGGTCGGCAGTGGGGAATGTGGAGGGTTGGAGCGGGGCTCTGCCCCCCTTTTCCCCGCATGCCACAACACAGCAACAACACAACAACGTAACCGACAAAAACATCAACAAGGGAATAAACAGCGTGAACAACAGCAATCACAACGTCAATATTATCAACAAAGGACATCACAAACAAAAGTATGAACATTATCAAGAAAACATCAACAACGAGAGAGATGATGACATCAACTTTAACAATGGTAGCAACATCAACAACATCGTCATCGACATCACCCACACCAATTACTGGACATCTGTGAAAATAGCTTCATAGCTCATCGGATTCCTCCTGCAGTCTAAATAACGTTTCGGATTCTGACACTGCAGGTACCATGATGGCCATGAACACGAGTAGGGGAACAGTGTCACCGCACCGATTTATGGCGTGAGCTCTCATCCACCTAATCCATCACTCGTAATCCCATAACGCCCTCTTGATGCGGGAAGCAGGACAGACACATCTTTTCAACCGCTGATGAACAATTAACATCATCATCTTCAGCAGTAGCATCATGGTTAGCATCAGCAGCAGCATCGTTATCATCATCAGTTTCTACAGCTGTAGCATATCACCAACAGCAGCATGAGCAGCAGCATTGTTATCACATTATCATCTGCTGCTGTTGCAACAGCATAAGCAATACAACTAGCAGCAGCTACATCATAATCATCAGATACCTCAGCAGCAGAAGCATCATCAGCAGCAACAGCTGCTAATGAGCAGCAGCTTCATCACAATTCTCGGATACTGCAGCAGATGTAATATGTTTATCAAGAACAGCAGCAGCATTAACAACAGCATCGTTATCATCATCATCATCTGTTGCAGCAGAAGCAATATCATCATCAGCAGCAACATCATAATTACCAGCAGCATCATTATCAGCTTCTGCAGCAGCAAAATCAATATCTTACGAATCATCAGCAGCATCGTATTTCATGATCAGCATTAGTTGTTGCAGTAGCAAAATCAAAGCAGCAGCAGCAGCACCGTTATCAGCATCATCATCATCTGTTTCTGCAGCATCGGCAATATCATCAGCAGTTGATTCATCATGATTATCATCAGCAGCAGCATCAGCAGCGGCATCGCTTTCATCATAATGACAATGATTTATTTTTATCAAGCAGGCCCTCATCTCCACCAGGGCGTATCAGAGCGCTGACATCTCTCATCTGAAACATGTTGTAAAGGGCACCCCCAGTGGCAGATGTCCCAGGTGGGCACAGCGCGACTCGGTCACTGACCTGAAAACGTGGATTAGTGTGCCAGTCAGGGGGCCATAGTTGCTATGTCTCATCCCAATTGAGTAATACATCATCATTGTAAACATTATCAACAACAACGTCGTCATCGTACTGTGCGAATGAAGTTCAACATACATAGTGTCATCATCAGCATCGTCATCATTAGCAGCAACTACGTCACCAGAAGCAGTAGTATCCTCATCCTCAGCATCATCGCTACATTATACCATCACCAACAGAATCACCATCAATATTATTATCGCCAATGACATCATCATCAGCAGCAGCATCCCACATACACATCATCAGCAGTAATCAGCAGCAAAATCGTATCCACACCAACACAGTCATCAACACCATCATCATCAACATCAGTATCAACACCATCATCATCAACAACAGCAGACGCAGCAGAATCATTACCAAGAGCAGCAGCAGGAGCAGTACCACTACACAACCAAGAGAAAGACAAAGATTCCCCGCATAGCCTTAACAGACTGTTGGGGCAAGTGCTTTTGGCGGGTACCTATGAAGACTGGCACAATACACGAGGAGATACATAGCCAACAGTGCTAATCGGAGGTGCATATAAAAATGCACATGGATACACACGGATATACACAAATACACAGAGATATACAATGACATACACACAGATAGCCATTGGCACAAAAGACAAAGATCCCCACTAGAGCCTTAACAGATGCTTTAAGAAAGTGCAGCTATAGCGAGCAGCACCTATGAGGGCCGGCACGGCACACGGGAGGATGGGTGGCCAACCCCACGTCCGGCCGTCTTTGTCTCCCCAGCGCTGATGATTACACACCACACCAGGCACTCATTTAAGGCTGAGTCGATCTAGGGGAGACGCGGGACCGGTTCAGGTAACCATCACTGGTGTTGGCCGTGAGCGGAATTCGAAATGGGGTCACGGGTTTCGTAGCGTCGTGCGCTAACCACTGCACTATCGCTTCCCATACATACATCAGTGTTAACACACACACATACACGCGTGTTAACACACACACATACACGTGTGTTAACACACACACATACATGCGTGTTAACACACACACATACACGCGTGTTAACACACACACATACACGCGTGTTAACACACACACATACACGCGTGTTAACACATACACGCGTGTTAACACACACACATACACGCGTGTTAACACACACACATACACGCGTGTTAACACACACACATACACGCGTGTTAACACACACACATGCATGCGTGTTAACACACACACATACACGCGTGTTAACACACACACATACACGCGTGTTAACACACACACATACACGCGTGTTAACACACATACACACGTGTTAACACATATACACGCGTGTTAACACACACACATACACGCGTGTTAACACACACACACAAACACGCGTGTTAACACACACATACACGCGTGTTAACACACACACATACACGCGTGTTAACACACACATACACGCGTGTTAACACACACACATACACGCGTGTTAACACACACATACACGCGTGTTAACACACACACATACACGCGTGTTAACACACACACATACACGCGTGTTAACACACACATACACGCGTGTTAACACACACACATACACGCGTGTTAACACACATACACGCGTGTTAACACACATACACGCGTGTTAACACACATACACGCGTGTTAACACACACACAAACACGCGTGTTAACACACACACGTACACGCGTGTTAACACACATACACGCGTGTTAACACACACACATACACGCGTGTTAACACACACACATACACGCGTGTTAACACACATACACGCGTGTTAACACACATACACGCGTGTTAAGACACACACGTACACGCGTGTTAACACACATACACGCGTGTTAACACACATACACGCGTGTTAACATACACATATACACGCGTGCACGTGAACACGAGACCACGTGGGCGTGCACAGCCGTGCGCGTGCACAGCCGTGCGCGTGCACAGCCGTGCGCGTGCACAGCCGTGCGCGTGCACAGCCGTGCGCGTGCACAGCCGTGCGCGTGCACAGCCGTGCGCGTGCACAGCCGTGCGCGTGCACAGCCGTGCGCGTGCACTCCGCGGGGGTGGAGGGGGGGGGGTGAGGGGGTGCAAGGGGTGAGGTGGGTGCGGGGTGAGAGGACTGAGAGGGCTGAGAGGGCTGAGAGGGCTGAGAGGGGTGAGAGGGCTGAGAGGGGTGAGAGGACTGAGATGGCTGAGAGGGGTGAGAGGACTGAGAGGGCTGAGAGGGCTGAGAGGGCTGAGAGGGGTGAGAGGGCTGAGAGGGCTGGGAGGGGTGAGAGGACTGAGAGGGCTGAGAGGACTGAGAGGGCTGAGAGGGCTGAGAGGGGTGAGAGGACTGAGAGGGCTGAGAGGGCTGAGAGGGCTGAGAGGACTGAGAGGGGTGAGAGGACTGAGAGGGCTGAGAGGGGTGAGAGGACTGAGAGGGCTGAGAGGACTGAGAAGGCTGAGAGGGCTGAGAGGGCTGAGAGGGCTGAGAGGGGCAGTGCTGACAGATCGAGGCTGTAATCTCCCTAATCCAGGTCACGGGGAGGAGCTCGTCAGAGCCCTGCCAAGTCGAGACACAACAACCACCACCACTCTACACCAACACAACCACCACCACCACCACCACTCTACACCAACACAACCACCACCACCACTCTCTACCAACACAACCACCACCACTCTACACCAACACAACCACCACCACTCTACACCAACACAACCACCACCACCACCACTTTACACCAACACAACCACCACCACTCTACACCAACACAACCACCACCACCACTCTGTACCAACACAAGCACCACCACTCTACACCAACACAACCACCACCACTCTACACCAACACAACCACCACCACTCTATACCAACACAACCACCACCACTCTATACCAACACAACCACCACCACTCTATACCAACACAACCACCACCACTCTATACCAACACAACCACCACCACTCTGTACCAACACAACCACCACCACTCTACACCAACACAACCACCACCACTCTACACCAACACAACCACCACCACTCTATACCAACACAACCACCACCACTGTACACCAACACAACCACCACCACTCTATACCAACACAACCACCACCACTCTATACCAACACAACCACCACCACCACTCTATACCAACACAACCACCACCACTCTATACCAACACAACCACCACCACTCTGTACCAACACAACCACCACCACTCTATACCAACACAACCACCACCACTCTACACCAACACAACCACCACCACTCTACACCAACACAACCACCACCACTCTATACCAACACAACCACCACCACTCTACACCAAGACAACCACCACCACTCTATACCAACACAATCACCACCACTCTCTACCAACACAACCACCACCACCACAACCACCACCACTACCACAATCTCGACCATCACTACAACCACCACAACCACCACTTTTGCCAATAGAAAGACGACGAATCGGTTCGTTCACGACGAAACATTCCAATGGAAGAGATTTCCGGCTTCTGGCTACCGGAACCGGTCATTGAGTCTGAACCGGGTACCACCGTTACCACCACCACGGCTATCAGCAGAGATATCATCATCATCATCATCACAATCACAACCATCACTATCACAAACATCATCAACATCCACCACCACCACCTACAGACAACAACAACGACCACAACAACGAGCAGCGCTCATTCCTAAACACGCAGCGCAAACAAAAATCAACCCGCTGTCTCCCTGCCTCACCAGTCCCCTGTCTCCCTGCCTCACCAGTCCCCTCTCTCCCTGCCTCACCAGTCCCCTGTCTCCCTGCCTCACCAGTCCCCTCTCTCCCTGCCTCACCAGTCCCCTCTCTCCCTGCCTCACTAACCCCCTGTCTCCCTGCCTCACCAGTCTCCTGTCTCCCTGCCTCACCAGTCCGCTGTCTCCCTGCCTCACCAGTCCACTGTCTCCCTGCCTCACCAGTCCCCTGTCTCCCTGCCTCACCAGTCTCCTGTCTCCCTGCCTCACCAGTCAGCTGTCTCCCTGCCTCACCAGTCCCCTCTCTCCCTGCCTCACCAACCCCCTGTCTCCCTGCCTCACCAGTCCCCTGTCTCCCTGCCTCACCAGCCCCCTCTCTCCCTGCCTCACCAACCCCCTGTCTCCCTGCCTCACCAGTCCCCTGCCTCACCAGTCCCCTCTCTCCCTGCCTCACCAGTCCCCTGCCTCATCAACCCCCTCTCTCCCTGCCTCACCAGTCCCCTGTCTCCCTGCCTCACCAGTCCCCTGCCTCACCAGTCCCCTCTCTCCCTGCCTCACCAGTCCCCTGCCTCATCAACCCCCTCTCTCCCTGCCTCACCAGTCCCCTCTCTCCCTGCCTCACCAGTCCCCTGCCTCACCAGTCCCCTCTCTCCCTGCCTCACCAGTCCCCTCTCTCTAACGGTCTCACCGCCTCGTGCGCACACCCGGACACCGCCCAGACGCGTGCGGGGGAGCACAGAGGGGACACAGTGGGGTGGGGGTAGAGGTGGAGGAGGAAGAAGGCGAGCTGTGGGGCGGGGGGGGTCTGGTGGTTGGGGGCTGTAGTGGCTGGTGGGGGGTGTGGAGGACTCACCGCTGAGGTTACAGTACTGGCAGTCCTGATGGTCCTCTCTTACTCGGCAGGCACGCTCTCTCCCACCCGGCTCTCTCCCACCCGGCTCTCTCCCGGGCTCTCTCCGGACTCTCGCACTCGGCTCTCTCCCACCCGGCTCTCTCCAACCTGGCTCTCTCCCGGGCTCTCTCCGGGCTCTCTCCGCGCTCTCTCCCACCCGGCTCTCTCCCGGGCTCTCCCGGCTCTCTCCCGCCCGGCTCTCTCCCGGGCTCTCCCCGGGCTCTCTCCCGGCTCTCTCCCACTCGGCTCTCTCCCACTCGGCTCTCTCCCACTCGGCTCTCTCCCACCCGGCTCTCTCCCACTCGACTCTCTCCCACCCGGCTCTCTCCCGGGCTCTCTCCAGCCCGGCTCTCCCGCCCTGGCGCGCTCTCGCTCTCTGCAGGCGATTGGGACCGAGTGCGTCGATGCGTGCACAGGTTTAATGGAATGAGGAGCGAACCAAGGCGAGAGAGGGGGGTGGGAGAGGGTGGGGACGAGAGCCGGGGAGAGGGAGGGCAGGCAGGGAGAGAGAATGGAGAGAGGGGAGGAGAGGCAGTGAGAGGATTGGATTGGAACAATCCGTTCTGTAGGCGGAGAGAGGATGCACAATGGCTGGGACTGCTGACTCTCCGTGCGAGCGGCGGCGGTGTGCGTAGCGCACTCGCTACAAACCGTGAAACATGGGTTCGAGTCCTGGTCACGCCTATCATTATTACCATGAGCCATGAGC